TGGAACGCTGAATGTCAGAGCTCCTTTGATGGTATCGAGCAGAGCTTGATACAATCCCCAGTCCTAGCAATAGCCGATCAAGACAGGCCATTTCATGTGGTCTGTGATGCCAGCGATTTCGCAATCGGCTGTGCATTAATGAAGTACGATCTTGAAGGCGTTGGACGCGTCGTCTGCTATCAGTCGCGTCAGCTGCAACCAGCTGAGCGGAACTATCCAGTGCATGACAAGAAATTCCTTGCCATGAAGTATGCACTCGCGAAGTTCAGAGTCTATCTATTAGGAGATAGACCCTTCATTGTTTACACTGACCATGCGTCATTACGCACGGCAGTGAACAGCCCGCACCTTTCACAACGAATGGCGCGGTGGTTTTCATTCTTTGCAGAATACAACTTTACGGTCGAGTACAAACCAGGACGACTTAATGTCGTCGCTGATGCACTCTCACGTCGTCCCGACTTTGAAACAGTCGCGAAACCCAACAGTGAGACAGTCACTGTTGCGGTTATGACGTCCTCAGTCCCATCTACAACGTTGTATGATGAAGTGAGACGGGCATACGCCCAAGATGGTGAGATTGTGAAGTTGTTGACACATCTCTCCCAACCATCCCGAGAATCGTTGAAACGATTGTCGCCTGCGTATCGATCTGCATCAGATCGATACACTACTCGCAACGGGTTACTGTATTATACAGCCGTTTCTGGTGACACACCACGTGTTGTCATTCCAGATGATACTGATCTGCGTTAGCGGATCATGTTCGAGTATCACGATGCTTCTATAGGAGGACGTCGTGGCCGGGAGGAAACATATCTCACGGTGAGTCGAGACTTTTACTGGCCCCGCCAGTATCAGTTTGTGCGAAAGTATGTTCGCGCCAACGAGTGAAGTCAAGTCCTTCACTGCGTGCACCTTTACAGCCTCTACCGGTTCCGGCTGAGTGCTGGGGATCCATCTCAATGGATTTCGTCTTCGGGTTACCCAAAGACGCACGCGGGAATACGGGTATTCTCGTATTTGCTGACAGATTCAGCAAAAGGGTACACCTTGTGGCTGTACCCGAGACAATCACGGCAAGTGGCTGTGCTTGTGTCTTTATCGACACCATCTTCCGACTTCATGGGTTGCCCCGTGAACTCGTTTCAGACAGAGATCCACGATTCACTGCTGATTTCTGGCGTTCCGTGCTCAAATCACTCGGGACGCGCTTGAAGATGTCGACATCTGATCATCCAGAGTCAGATGGTCAGACGGAACGCGCCAATCGTGTCCTTGAAGAGATACTTCGAGGATACGTACACTCCTTTAAGAGTTGGAGTGAGTTTTTGCCAATGGTTGAGTTTGCCATTAACAACTCGGTGCATGCGTCCACGACACATACACCGTTTTACGTGAATGACTTACGCCATCCGCGTGTACCCACCTTACTAGAGTGTAACTCTGGTTCAAGGGGGGGAGGGACTAGCGCGAGCAAAAACCGATTTGGTTCACGCTCATCATGCTCTGACGAAGAGGTCATTGCGTTTGATGCCGATATCGATAACATCGATATCGAAGAAGATGATGCCAGTGAGAGTGCGGAAGCCCTCACTGAAGAAAAGGTTGATGTTGCTGCAGTGCACTCACAGCACACTGAAGCTAACGAGTCATCAGATGAGTTCATACTGGCTCGTGAAACGGTAGTCTGTTTTGTGCAAGATTCCATCGCCGAAGCGGTGGATAAGCAAAAGCAAAACGCTGACAAGAATGGAAGGGCAAACACTCTTTTATTTAGTAAAGGTGACTTAGTCCTACTGTCTACGGTTAATCTACCAAAGCATGTAGTGACTAACTTGGGTAGCAGTAAACTACTACCCAAGTACATCGGCCCATTTCGTGTATTGCACCGCCTAGGCAATGCATACACGATCGAGTTGCCACGTAAGATGCGAACGCATCCCACGTTTTACGTTGGTCGGCTTAAGCCGTACCATCAGTACGCTGCTTCTTCCGATGAAGAACGCCCTTGCGCTCAAGCATCTCGCAGAGAGCCTTGTGCTCCCGATGGTGGCCATCGACAAGGGTCTGAAGAGAAGTTATCTCAGCCCGAGACCGATCAACATCCCCATGAGCTACCCTTAGCTCGTCACGCAGAGATGTCAGAGCTCTCTCGTTCTCAAGCTGAGCAAAGGCAAACTCAGCTCGACGCTTCGAGATAGTGTCCGCCATTTGGAGACGCCTATTCCGCTCATACTCGAGATCGTTGCGTAACCCTTGCGTTACGCGATCAAAGAAGCTCTCAGGAACACACCGATCCACATGATCGTGTGGAGAGCGTCTTTCCTCCTCCTCCACCTTCATTAGAGGACTCTCGCGGTGGCCAACGCTATCTAGTTGAGCAGCTGTTGAACCACCGCGACGTGAACGGGCGTCGGACGAGTTATCTCGTCCGATGGCGCGGCTATCCCCCGTCCTGGGATTCTTGGGAGCCCCGCTCCCAACTGATGATCGACGTACTGGGTCTGGTTGAGCAGTACGACGCGGCACATCCTGTGCCGCAGAAGGACCGCCGGAGAAAGTCTTCCCGGCACGGTCGTAAAGGGATTTCAAGTTGTCAATCCCTTCGTACATCTCAGTAGAGATACGTACGCGCCACCACGGGCTATGAAGGAGGTAAGCCTCCTTAGGTGCTCGTGCAGAGTTGTTCACACAACATGGGCACGAGTCTCCCCATGAGAGGCAGGGTAATCCTTTCTCCCTAGACAGACGATGCAGCTTGTAGCGTGCACCTCTCGGGGTTCTCTTCTCAAACTCATCACGAGCTTTGATAAGTTTGTCGTTCCAAACGTCACGACCTACATCCTCAAGGATGTGGATGTAGGTGATCCACGCTTGAAGCAGTGAGGGACCATCACGTTTGTGATTCCCACGGTAACAACGATGTTTAAAGAAAGCATCGATGAAGAATTCATTCTCAGCGCGATAGTTTTTCGCGCTGGGGTCAAGGTGATGGATCCTTGACGAATCGAACAATCGTGTTCGATAACGATCACTCGTCGTCGCCGACAAGTGATCCATGACAGATTTTGGAGGCATCCATGCCTTCTTCTCGGGAGCGAGACGCAAGACATTGCGGTCCCGCACTTCCTGCGACGTGCCGACAGAAGGATTGGCAGCTCGTTGTGAAGTGGTGTCAATAGGAGAACCGACTCCACTGTTAGCGCCCGAGTCTCGCGACCTCGAGCGCCTTCGCTTCGGCGATGGTTCATCTGATTCATCAGGTGAACCAAAGATGCTACGACGCATAGCATCATCCATGCCACACTTGGCAGGCGATTTGGATTCGATCGCCGTCGATACGTATCCGTCTTCCGTATCGGGAGAGTACGAGACATCAAGCTCATACTCTGTGAAGACATGAGTGTCTTCATGACTAGCGCCTGCATCACCAAGTGACACAGGCTGAGTCGCTTCAGCAACCGATGAGACATCAGTTGCTGTGGTTTCTGCTTCGGCGTCCGCACAGAGACGTGCGGACGCGCTCTCGGCGGCCTTGCTCGCGCATCGCATGGGCTTGTTAACCATGCGATGAAACTGATGGGAAGTGGACTCGGACCAACAAGTGCAAACCCTGTCCCAAATGATTTGGGACGAGTATCCATTTAGTCAATCAGTCACTAAAGTGACTGATGGTTGAGGGGGGGGTGATGTAACGGGGTGAATCGTTACATGACAATTTATAAGAAATTGTTAATAGAATATAACTATAAGAGTTATATTCTCAGAATATTGTCATAAGGACAAATATTCTGTAGCACTTACGAGTAGTTCCTAATTGGTTGATATAGGCCATTATATCAACCAACGAAGACGCGCCACGACAGACGCACGCAATGAGTGGTGAGCGGATAATTGATTTACACATTTGTATTTAGACATAGTTAGATGAAGATAAATAGAGATTTATTGCAGACATTGACTATCATAAATACAGTTCTACTTTTTACTCTAACCAAGTACTCTCTCCTTCTTACTGTCTTCCTCTGCACGTACGAGTATACGTAAAGTTACGAGGCACCGCCTTATTCTGTCATCAGAATAAGTAGCTTGTACTGTCACCAGTACAAGCTTCGGGGTGCCCCGTTACAACTATACCACTAGTTACTACACTGCTAGCATTACAACTGCTACCACCATTCCTTTTTCATGAAATGAAGCCTGTACCGTTGCTTTGCATGCTACAGAGGAGTCAAACAAACCAGCACGTAGAGGCCGAGCGTCATCAAACCGTCCATAAAATTTAATTCGAATGTATTGTATTATCAATGTAATCCTGTGCAATTCTTCATTCCTTGCAGGCATCGCTACATTGATACCGTAACGGAGCTATTTAGCGCTTATTAACAGAGGAAGTACTGGACTCAAAGAGTCTCTTAGTTATAACGACTACAACGACGTACAGTCGGTCAAGCGGACAAGCTTAACAATCCCGAATCCGGAGGGATTACGATTCACAGAATTACACACAAACTATTCACTACTATTCGATGTAAAGAAGTAGCCCGTTACATGATATTGACACCAAACAGTGTCAATAGGGAAATTGTCAAGCGTGACAATTCCCTATACTACACCGAACGAGATTAATATTATAGAGGGAATATTATTCTTTTTTAGATAATGATCAAGCGCTGCTCCAAGATTAGATGCGCTGCTCAAAGATTGATTGATAAAGACATATCAACCATAGTTTACCACCAATCGCTCTTAGACGCGCGCAACGAGTGGTGAGCAGCCTCTCGTCATACGACGGCGTAGTTTAATATAGTTTGATAAAGACTGAAGTTATATTGATAGCTTAACGATATTAAATACAGTTCTCTTTTTACCTTTATTTGAACGAGTCGTTTAAGTAGTTTAGCTTCCTCTGCACGTACTAGTGTACGTGACGTTTCGTGGCAGCCCAAACAGAGGGTGCCCCGTTACACCTGGTAGCACATTGTAGTCCGTCCAACATGAACATGTTGGACGTAGAAGACGAAAGCTTTCACGTCACACGTGAAGGCTACTCCCATCTGAGTGACTCAGAATGGGAGATAGTCGGTCGCATGAGTGTGCTCATGAGCGAATACGCCATCAGTGGTATGTTGGATTCTCGAAGCAGGGACCAACAACACGCTGCTATCAACAAGTTCCTACAGGGGGAACTTGCCGTCGAAAGAGAGAAGATAGCATTTCCACAACAGCAAGGCTCTCATCAATCGATGGGCGGGCCGACGTACACGCGTCGACCCGAAACCATGAAGATATACATCATTAAGGTACAAGGGAACCGATGAAGATTCCCTTTTGAGATGGTTCGTCGAGTTAGACGACGCCATCAGGGCCCGTCACGTCGAGGGTGACGAGATACAAGTCACCTTCGCCCTGTCAAATTTAACAGGACGAGCAAAGACTTGGGCCTTAGGGCTCAAGCTTCACGACCCAAACGTGTTTGAGTAGTTAGAGATCTTGAAGTCTCGGCTCAAAGAGACGTTTGAGCAGCCGAGAGGCGAGTTCAGAGCACGTTCTGCACTCTTGAGGCTAAAGCAAGTTAATCGTGACGTGCACGCTTACTCACAACACCTACGCTACCTTGCGAGTAGCGTCGCGTAATACCCTGTTGATGAGCACATGCTCATCAACGTGTTAATCTACGGCCTTGTGGATGAACCGGTGAAGACCTACATGTTCCGAGAGGAGTTCCATACGCTGGAAAAGGCGATAGCGTATGCGGAACAGGAAAGACTTCAGCCTGAGACAGTCTCAGGCTAACTCATCAAACTATCGTCCGACGAGACGACAGGAAACAGGAGGTCCCGAACCAATGGACCACTGTTACATCGAGAGCGAGAACTCTCACTCTCTGAGTCACAAGCGAACGGCAAGATGCCATCGCTTTCAGAAGATTGGACACTACGCCCATGAGTGTAGTGTCCCGATCCCCGTAACACGTCCAAAGACAGGACGTGATGGCCACCGTGGCCAAGGAAAGGCTTAAGGCTTGGGTCCGACCATGTCGCTAAGCCGCGACAGCAAGTCGGACCGTCAAAAAACGGTAAGGGTCAGTAGGGGCGGAGCCCCCTGCTAATCCAGCAACGTCAAGAGAATTTGCAGGACTCTTGACGAAGATTGCTCCCAACACACAGTCTCTGTGTGTTACTGCCCCTAGTGACGAGGGATCCCTCATCACTTTGAAGATCGAAGTGACAGGTGGAATTTCACTTCGCGCCCTAGTTGACTGTGGGGCGTCAAACAATTGTATTCGACGCCAGTCGCTAGAGGATATAAGACTCAACTATGTTAAAAGAGAGGTCCCTCTAAAGAGGATGAAGTTGTGCCTTGCTACAGGCGCATCCATAACAGTGAACAAACGTGTAGTGGGAATCAATACACGCTAGAAGGAAAGCAGTACGATGATGACTTCATCGTACTGCTTTTAGATGACAAATTTGATGTCATCCTCGGTCTGCCATGGCTTAGAAATACCAGCCATGGGTTAGCTGGTAGCATCGATCCATAAAGATGCCTGTCGTTTGTTCATCGGATGGACATCTGATGAACGTCTTGGAGAATCCACAAGCGTGTGGATGTACTACGAGTGAGTGCGATGGCCTCACTTGTGGTATGGTCGTTAGTAAGATTGCACAAGATCACAGTGTAGAAGGCCACTGCACTGTGGAAGCTGCTTCCACAGTGCAGTGGCCTTCTACACTGTGACCGCACCTGTAACGGGGCACCCTTCGGCTGGGTGCCACCTGTAACGGGGCACCCTTTGGCTGGGTGCCACGAAACTTCACGTACATTAGTACGTGCAGATGAAGCTAATTTACTCAACAACTGAGCTGTGTAAAGGGTAAAAAGAACTGTATTTAATATCGTTAAGCTGTCCAAATTACTTTAATCTCCATCTCACTATTTTAAACTACATTGTCGTATGACGACAACCTGCTTACCGCTCATTGCGCGCGTCTAGCAGCGATTAGTGGTAATCTATGGTCGATATGTCTTTTATCAACCAATCTTGGAGCAGCGCATGAATATTATCCAAAAAGAATAATATTCCTTCAATATTATCCATCTTGGATAATATTGGTAGAATATAGTCATCCTAGACAATATTCCTGTTGACAACGTTTGGTGTCAATTTCAGGGAACGGGCTACCCCGTGACATCACCCCCCCCCTTAACCATGAATCACCCGTTGATTGAATTAGAATTGATTGGGACAGGGTGACCACCGTTGGATCACTCTGGGAAAGGGAGCACTTGTTGGTCAAATTCCATTCATTTGCCAATCCAACGCATGGTTTCAAAATCCAAGCGAGCTGCTTCTGCAGCAGCAAGAAAGGTGGCTGCACGTATGCTTATTACGTCTCACGCCTCAGCAGCAGGTGATTCGTCGCTTGCTGCTGTGAACAGTCCACATGGTTAGTCACCACGTGCGACAGATGCATCCGCCTAGTCTGCAGCGGGTACCGCGAATTGTAATCTAGATGAGCCTGAAATAGAGCTCATCTATTCTGGCGAGTTGAATGATGTATCCGACTCGAAGGCGAAAACTCACGCCTTCGGATCACCCGGTGGCGGACACTGCAAGAGCCAGGTTGACTGGCTCTGCTGAACGTGCAGTATCATGTCCGAGATCTTCGGATCGAGCAATTGGTCCGACGAATCCTCGCCTCACGCGAGCACATCCAGCGACAGGGCGCGTGGTGATGGTGGTGATGCCCCTATGCATCACCACAAGAGAAGCAACTTGAGAGATTGAGGTGTAACTGGTGTCAGTGCTCACGCTATCACCAATCAAGAGGCCAGGGACCAAAATGTACTGCGCCACGCTCCTCAGGTGGAGTCTCCATTTATGCCGTCATCGAGAGATTTGGACCGGTTGGCCGGCATGACCACCGATTGGGATCGAATCCCGTTGTTCTATTGCAGGAATATTTGCTTACCTGATTCCAGCAATTAAACTATCCGTGCTGAGGAAGAATTCTTCACCGATGCGTTTTTCAAGCATCGGTGGTACAATGGCAGTCGTGTTCTAGCCGGAAAGGCCTTGGTGCAAGGACGGAACGCCCTCATTCATAACATCGAGTGCATTGGCCATGATGCCTGGCTCGGTTAACTTGATGCACCTCGCGTCAGGTTTGAGAAGCGCAACACAATCGGGGCGCAATACAAGTTGCACCGGCTGTCAAGAGAGGCAGAATTGTCCTGTCTCTCGTGGGGTGATTCGTTTCCGGGTTGCCTGGAAAACTGGAATTGTGCTGCTAGATAGGCCTACCTCCCTAATGTTCCCTACCGGAGGGTGCACATCTTTTCAGAGATGGCCGAAGGGATTGAAACTTTGCAATCCCTGTACTCGCATTCGGCGAGTTCGTTTTCCGACGGCCCTTCTTCAAACGCATCGTGTGGGTCTCGTATTTTTGCTCGACAAGACCCAGTAAATCAGCAATCAGCTGGGCACGAGGCTCCCTGCTGTCCCACGCCGGTGGATAGCCACGCCAGCGGACGAGGTAACTCTTCCGGACGCTATTCACTTCGCGGTGGTTCAAAATACGCTCCACTACATAGCGTTGACCACCGCCTGAGTCCACCAAAAGATGTAGTGGTGGCGAGAACACCTGATCCGGCTCGAGGGCCCGATCAGCTTGATGTTCAGGAGCTGAACTGTGAAACGGAACAGTTGCAAGATGACCTGGATCATGAACGGACTCGGCGCTATGAGCTCAATGATCTTGTAAAGGAGAATTACAATTTCTTAACGCACGATCGTTCGAACGATCGTGCCGCGTTTGCGTTCGCACATCTAAAGAACGAACGCTCGACTCGTTCTCTTCGTGACGAGCTGGATGCAGCTCGTCGAGACATTGCCTAACTGCGTGAACAGGTCGCTTCGCTAGTCGACCAGACTGGCTTGTTTAAACGAGACCACTCGAAGGTGGTCTCGACTCTCGACCGCGGAGGTGTTCTTCGCATCTCGAAATGGGCTCGTACTGATAGTACGGGCGGAGACGTCCAACGCAAACGTAGGATGCGTGCGCATCTTACGGGGTAGTTCAATCGTGTATGCGCTGCCCATTCGGCGCAACACACGAAATGGACCAATATACTTGGGCAGTAATTTACTGCTGCCCACGTATGTCACCGCGTGTTTCGGTAAGTTTACTGTAGACAGTATAACTTGGTCTATTTCATCAAATGAACGAACATTTGCTCTTCCGTGTTTGTCTGCTTTTCTCTTCTGTCTGTCTAGTGAATCTGCAATAGGATCTTGAACGAAGCGGACCACCGCTTCGCGAGTCAGCAGAAATTCCTCTGCTGATTCTTCCTTGTCAACAAAAGTGCGCTTCGTGTGCACTGCTAAACGAACGTTGTCTTCACCAGTGAGGGTATCGTCGTCCTCAGTTTGGCGGTCATTGGCGATGCTGAATATGTCAGCATCGTCATCATCGACATCGGCATTTATCACGTCGACACCATTGTCGACGGGTGATGAGCAAGAACCAGATCGGTTTTTATTCGATCGAGTTAACCCTCCTTGAACTAGAGTCATATTTTAAGAAGGTGGGTAAACGTGGATGGCTTAGGACCTTCACGAAGAACGGTGTATGCGTTGTCGAAGCGTGCACCGAGTTGCAGATAGAGAATTCCGCGATCGACAAGAACTCACCCCATTTCGTAAACGAGTAGACAAACTCTCGAATTATCTCTTCGAGGACGCAGTTGACGCGTTCCGTTTGACCATCTGTTTCTGGATGGTCAGAAGTTGACATCGTCAAACGTGTTCCAAGTGAACGATACTCGGATTGCCAGAAGTCCGCCGTAAAAAGGGGGGTCTTTATCAGACTCGAGTTCACGGGGTAACCCGTGAAGTCGGAAGACAGTATCGATGAAGACAAAAAGCACAACCACGTGCTGTGATTGACTCTGGTACAGCAACAAGATGTACCATCTTGCTGGACCAATCAACAAACACAAGGATAACAGCATTCTTGTGAGCGTATTTGGAAAACCCGAAGACGAAGTCCATCGATACGGACTTCCAACACTCTGCCAAAATGGGTAGAGACTGCAAAGCTGTGCGGGATAAGGGACTAGGCTTCACCCGTTGACAAACTTCTCAAGCGCGAATGTACATGCGCACAAACTCATACTGGCGGGACCAGTAGAAGTCACGACTTACCTTGAGGTAAGTCTTCTCTCTACCGCGATGCCCACTTGTTGGGGTATCTCGATGCTCATACACGATGCATAATCGCAAATCATTATGAGCGGGAACGACGACACGAGGTGTGTCGTCGTCGACTGCTGTATAGTACAACAGTCCATCACGAATAGAATACCTTTCGGTTAAAGAGCGATATTGAGACGACAAGCTTTTCAAAGCTTAATTGCACGGATTTTCTACGTAATCCATCAACCGCAGAAGAGACTCATTTTCCGCATATGCCTTCCGCACGTCGTCGAGCGGATTCGACGACGTAACACTCACTGTTAGTGTCTCTACTGTGGGATTTTTCCCCTACTGTTGTGTGTAGCAGTCGGCTCGAAATCGGGACAGCACGAAAGAGCATCGGCGACGACGTAACACTCACTGTTAGTGTCTCTACTGTGGGATTTTTCCCCTACTGTTGTGTGTAGCAGTCGGCTCGAAATCGGGACAGCACGAAAGAGCATCGGCGACGACGTTAAGTAGTCCTATTTTATACTCGACGGTGCAGTTGTACTCCGCGAATAAAGACAGCCACCTCGCCATTCGTTGCGAGAGGTGGGGAATGTTTACGGCCGTAAGTAACGACGCTTGGTCGGTACAAACGATGAAGGTCCTATCTCCTAAGAGATATACTCAAAACTTAGCCAGTGCATATTTCATGGCAAGGCTTGTCTTGTCATTCACCGGTATATCACGCTCAGCTGCTTGCAGCTGACGCTATTGGTAACAGACGACGCGCTCAACGCTGTCCGAGTCGTACTGCATTAACGCACAGCCGATCGCAAAATCGCTGGCGTCACGGACCACCTTGAATGGTCTGTCCTGGTCTGCAATCGCCAACACATGCGATTGCACCAAGCTTTTCTTAATACCTTGAAAGGAGTGCTGACACTCAGCACTCCATGACCACCTCTTGTTTATCTTTAATAGACGAGAGAGATGTGCGGTCATCTCGGCGTAGTTGCGCGGGTACTTATGAAAGTACGCCGCCAAGCCAAGGTACTTTCTAAATCCTTTGACGTCGACTGGCACAGGCCAGTTGCCAATCGCCTTGATCTTTTCCAGATCAGGGCGTACGCCGTTTTAACCACAATGCAGCCAAGAAGTGGTATTTCGTTCGCTGCGAATATACACTTCTTGAGGTTTGCGAACAACTGATGCTCTCGCATTAGAGTAAGAACCTTCCGGACGTGGATTCTATGAACCTCAACGTCCGTCTTTACATCCATAGTCCGGCTATGGACGAAGAAATCGTCGAAGTAACTCGGTGCAAAATCGCGCACCGATTGCAACAGATTCGTAACACATCTGTTAAACGTTGCGGGGGCGTTACTTAGCCCCTGCGGCATCACTAGCCACTCCCAGAGCATACCACTGAGGGTGCTCACTGCTGTGTAAGGGATATCTCGCTCACGCATGAGGATCTATTAGAATCCATCCATCAGATCAATAGACGAAAAGATGGTACTTTTTGCCATACCATCAATGGTGACGTCCTTTCTTGGTGTAGGCGTTTGAGCCGGTACCGTTGCAGCGTTCAATTTGTTGAACGCGTGCACTATCCGCCACCCTCCTTTGGCCTTTCGCACACAGAAGGTAGGAGATCTGTGTGGGGATGTTGATTCCCTCACATGACCAGCCGCTAAACGATCAGCAAAGAAAATGTCGTTTGCTGTGATCTGTTCACGAGGCAGTGACCACTGCTTCATGACACATCATTTCGAACCGGGTTTCAGTTCGATCTCATGCCGAGTGCCTTTGTCTTGAGGCAGCTCGCATGGCACGAATTCCGGGAAAACATCCTTGAATTCAGCAAATTCTTATACAAAGGATTAGTCTTTAAAGACTTCCAAGATTGAGCATGTATCGCTCAATCCGGGTCTTCTCATCGAGTACAATTTCGTCCATCGATGAGCTACTGAGAACCCATTCGTTCTCAGTAAACACTTGTTCCGACCGAATATCGGCGACGTACTCGTCCTCTGTGACAAGTGAGCAGATCTGCTTGATCTTGTCACGACGCAGATCTCGCAAGAATCTTTTAGGTTCTAGCGTTGGCCTTGATTACCTCCGACGCTGAATCGGAGGTGTAACCAGATCAAGTGTATCAGCGCCAACACTTAATTCTTCATTCACCAAGACATTCACTGTCTCGGTGATATCCTGGGAAAACTCATCCGCAATTGGTTGCGGATCCACACCCTCAACATAACTCTCTCGGGAGTCATCACTCTCAGTAACGATGGAGCTTTCTTCCAATACGTGAACCGACTGTGGGTGTACTACAACATTCACGTCCTCTTCGATCGACTATCTTTCAGTCGAGCGGGCTTGCTCTAAGATCGGCTCTCTGATAGTCGATCTCGCTTCAACGTGTTGTTCATCCTTAAAAACACTAATCTGTCGTATCACACCCTTCTTTATGTGCATCCGTGTTCTAGTCCACTCGATCTATTCGAGTGGTGAACCTTCGGCGCAGCCTGCGTCTCTACACAGGTGCCGGAAGCTGGTTCCACAGTGCAGTGGCCTTCTACACTGTGATCTTGTGCAATCTTACTAACGACCATACCACAAGTGAGGCCATCGCACTCACTCGTAGTACATCCACACGCTTGTGGATTCTCCAAGACGTTCATCAGATGTCCATCCGATGAACAAACGACAGGCATCTTTATGGATCGATGCTACCAGCTAACCCATGGCTGGTATTTCTAAGCCATGGCAGACCGAGGATGACATCAAATTTGTCATCTAAAAGCAGTACGATGAAGTCATCATCGTACTGCTTTCCTTCTAGCGTGTATTGATTCCCACTACACGTTTGTTCACTGTTATGGATGCGCCTGTAGCAAGGCACAACTTCATCCTCTTTAGAGGGAACTCTCTTTTAACATAGTTGAGTCTTATATCCTCTAGCGACTGGCGTCGAATACAATTGTTTGACGCCCCACAGTCAACTAGGGCGCGAAGTGAAATTCCACCTGTCACTTCGATCTTCAAAGTGATGAGGGATCCCTCGTCACTAGGGGCAGTAACACACAGAGACTGTGTGTTGGGAGCAATCTTCGTCAAGAGTCCTGCAAATTCTCTTGACGTTGCTGGATTAGCAGGGGGCTCCGCCCCTACTGACCCTTACCGTTTTTTGACGGTCCGACTTGCTGTCGCGGCTTAGCGACATGGTCGGACCCAAGCCTTAAGCCTTTCCTTGGCCACGGTGGCCATCACGTCCTGTCTTTGGACGTGTTACGGGGATCGGGACACTACACTCATGGGCGTAGTGTCCAATCTTCTGAAAGCGATGGCATCTTGCCGTTCGCTTGTGACTCAGAGAGTGAGAGTTCTCGCTCTCGATGTAACAGTGGTCCATTGGTTCGGGACCTCCTGTTTCCTGTCGTCTCGTCGGACGATAGTTTGATGAGTTAGCCTGAGACTGTCTCAGGCTGAAGTCTTTCCTGTTCCGCATACGCTATCGCCTTTTCCAGCGTATGGAACTCCTCTCGGAACATGTAGGTCTTCACCGGTTCATCCACAAGGCCGTAGATTAACACGTTGATGAGCATGTGCTCATCAACAGGGCATTACGCGACGCTACTCGCAAGGTAGCGTAGGTGTTGTGAGTAAGCGTGCACGTCACGATTAACTTGCTTTAGCCTCAAGAGTGCAGAACGTGCTCTGAACTCGCCTCTCGGCTGCTCAAACGTCTCTTTGAGCCGAGACTTCAAGATCTCTAACTACTCAAACACGTTTGGGTCGTGAAGCTTGAGCCCTAAGGCCCAAGTCTTTGCTCGTCCTGTTAAATTTGACAGGGCGAAGGTGACTTGTATCTCGTCACCCTCGACGTGACGGGCCCTGATGGCGTCGTCTAACTCGACGAACCATCTCAAAAGGGAATCTTCATCGGTTCCCTTGTACCTTAATGATGTATATCTTCATGGTTTCGGGTCGACGCGTGTACGTCGGCCCGCCCATCGATTGATGAGAGCCTTGCTGTTGTGGAAATGCTATCTTCTCTCTTTCGACGGCAAGTTCCCCCTGTAGGAACTTGTTGATAGCAGCGTGTTGTTGGTCCCTGCTTCGAGAATCCAACATACCACTGATGGCGTATTCGCTCATGAGCACACTCATGCGACCGACTATCTCCCATTCTGAGTCACTCAGATGGGAGTAGCCTTCACGTGTGACGTGAAAGCTTTCGTCTTCTACGTCCAACATGTTCATGTTGGACGGACTACAATGTGCTACCAGGTGTAACGGGGCACCCTCTGTTTGGGCTGCCACGAAACGTCACGTACACTAGTACGTGCAGAGGAAGCTAAACTACTTAAACGACTCGTTCAAATAAAGGTAAAAAGAGAACTGTATTTAATATCGTTAAGCTATCAATATAACTTCAGTCTTTATCAAACTATATTAAACTACGCCGTCGTATGACGAGAGGCTGCTCACCACTCGTTGCGCGCGTCTAAGAGCGATTGGTGGTAAACTATGGTTGATATGTCTTTATCAATCAATCTTTGAGCAGCGCATCTAATCTTGGAGCAGCGCTTGATCATTATCTAAAAAAGAATAATATTCCCTCTATAATATTAATCTCGTTCGGTGTAGTATAGGGAATTGTCACGCTTGACAATTTCCCTATTGACACTGTTTGGTGTCAATATCATGTAAAGGACCACCCCGTTACACCTTACCCCTTGCCTACCCTATACCTTTTTATACTGATTTTTACCGTGTAACAAAGGGTTTCTTACCCTACCTCGCCGAGGCCTACCTACTATAACGTCCAGAATGTATATAATTTCAAACTATATAATTCTTTAACAACCAAGAGAACATGAAACGTAGCGTCCTAATTTTAATATGCGAGCGTCAATGAATTGATTATTTATTGAAACCATTCAACGTTCCAGCCAAGGAATGCACCAAGGCCATTGTGGATGCGTACAAAGATGATTCGGACGCCACCAGCGATGGCCGACGGACGGACGAATATTCTGAGACTCGCGACTTCTATTTTAGTGCCAATTATCGCTTTGAATACTAAGCCATTTCTTTACACACTCATCAATACCAACTGTGCGCCAAACGTCAGGGTCGCTTTCGCAATGAGTGGTGAGCAGATAACTGCTTCCACTAATATGTATGCTGCTACAAGTAGTTTCGGATGAAGATAAATCGGCATTTATTGTAGATAAATAAGCTCAATCTAACTAACCAGTTCTTCACGTATTTAACCCTGCTCCTTATCGCCGGCAGCGACCGAGTACGTGAAGTTACGAGGCACCGCCTTATTCTGTTATCAGAATAAGTAGCTTGTACTGTCACCAGTACAAGCTTCAGGGTGCCCCGTTACAGCGTCAATGAATTGATTAGTTATTGAAACCATTCAACGTTCCAGCCAAGGAATGCACCAAGGCCATTGTGGATGCGTACAAAGATGATTCGGACGCCACCAGCGATGGCCCGACGGACGGACGGAATTTTCTGAGACTCGCGACTTTTATTTTAGTGACAATTATCGCTTTGAATACTTAATCGATTTCTTTACACACTCATCAATACCAATTTCTGTTTCTCCAAACGTCAGGGTCGCTTTCGTGCAATGGCGTAGCTATAAGCTTCCACTAATATGATGCTGCTACAAGTCGTTTCGGACGAGAGATCAACGGCATTTATGTTGATAGGTAAGGTCAATCTGAGTAACCATGTTGCTGTCACGTATTTGAAGAGCCCTGCTCGCTAATATGCGCCGGCAGCGGCACCGATTAGGACCAAGTGGATCAGGCATTTAGCGTCTACATTTGTTGTAAACTAATGATCACATTAAGGTTGATTTTACCCTGTTACTCTTATTATCGGTCTTTTGGTACCCTCAGCGCACATGGAGGCGCTGACACGCACCAGATCTCTTCGTTCCAATATAGAGTGGGAAAAATGTTCCATGGTGCTGTCCCGCAACATCCTGTGGGATGTCATGTCCTGAGCGAGATGGGCCGCAGGATGGGCCAGCCCATCCCCATCCCATGCGAGACAGAACCCTGATCGTCACCCACTGCTGTGCTGCAGGGCAGGGTCTCCCGACCATTCATTTGGTTTGCTCACTTCCCATTTCGCACTCCACAATTTTGACCCCGCTCGGTCGTTCTCAAGTTACTCCATGGGGTTTTCCACTTTGTTCGCGCTTTCTGTGAATTTACGGCTGCTCGTTAATGCTAGCCAGGCTCCAAGTCTCGATGATCCTCACGACATGCTACCTACTGCTCAAGAAAACGCATCCAAGCCAGGCGAAAGCTTGGCCGTAGTTCACCCCTTCGTTGTGCAAGACCTGGAAGATCGGGGTTTTCGAAGTGAATACGTGCTCGATGCGATCAATTTTGTCCTTGATATCACTCGGTCACCTGAGCCAAGCACGATCGCCCTTCGCGAAGAGGAAGGGAAAGTCGAACGGCTCATTCTTAGTCACCTGCCCGCTAATTCAGACAAACATCCTGTCGTCACGGTCGTGCATCATAAGGGTCCAGCTGACTTTCGGTTTACTGGCGAGGCATATGAGCGTGCGTGTGAGCTCCCCGTGGTCAAAACGCCGGTTTTTGCTCGTTTGTACGATGATCTCGTTGAGAGCATTGGCCCTAACGCAGCTCTACGTCAGCTCCAGTATCGACCAGGAGGTCCGTGGCAGGTAACAGCGATACATAATGAGATGCTCCAGCAAGCGCAGTTCGCTTCTTGGTTCAAGGCTGCAAAGGACCCCAAACCTCTCGAGGAGGCAGCTACGATCGATAAAGTTGAGCTAGCAGGTCATCCTACCGAGCCAGAGAAGGTGGCAAAGCACTATGACGATTTCATCAATGGAATGCTACAATTGTCCAGATCGCATGTCGACACTGTGGAGAGTCAGACGAGCTCTATTTTCGATGGATTTAAAACTGGCGAGCATGAAATTGCGTGCGAGTCGATACTGAGCGAGCGGATCAATATCAGAAAGGTTCTCGACACTTACAGCGGTGCCACCACTACGCTAGGAGTTGAAGATCTGGGTGTCCTCAGTCAAAAAAAAAGGATCGAGGACATCATGTTCGGCATTTGGTTTATATACAAAATTGAACCTTTTGCTCTTCAAAGACAACGTCTGAACTCATACAAGTGGCTTGATGAATATAAAACCTTCATCGACAGGTACACGAGGTTTATTAAAAAGCAGCAAACAGAGGTCAGCAAGCTCAGAGTACAACATCCGAGAGACGGTGACACGCTCAACGACCCAAAGCGCCATCGCACAGCCTACTAGTCAAAGCGAAATATAGTGAGCATTGTGGCCATCAATATGGTTCATGACTTGTTGTATGATGTCGTCGTATCAATCTGCAAATTTACCTTCTGTGTGCACGTTTCTGAATGGTTCACGCGTGTAGAGCCGACGCGTGAATTCAGTGTTACATTATTACAGGATGTCCTATGACTGAAAGCAAAGACGACGGCAAATTTCCACGCAACAGCAAATACATGTGTACCTGGAGCGGCTTCTTCGAACATGCTTTAGCTCCAGCCTAACTGTAGACGCCGCACTCGAACAACACGCATCATATTCAATTAATTAGGATGAATTGGACCTACAATTATTTATGGGCTGCCCGACCTTCCTTGGCCACAACAGAAAAATCAAGACAAACCACATCCGGGTTTAAAGATACTCACCAGCTTTACGACAGTTATACTAGTACTACAAAGTGGTAAGGAGTTGTCTTGTAATAACTTAATGATTTAAAGATTTAATCACCTCGATGCAGTCTTCATTAACCAAGAATTTTATGGAATTCCATGACAAGTTGACGCGACAAGAAAGACGCCACTACTGATGACCCCGAGATATCGCAGTACTTCAACAACAATAGAGCAGAAAGAGGCTGAAGTTGATGGGTCACCACAGTATTCGCAGATTTCTGTTTAGCGTTTTGTGTAACGGGGCACCCTGAAGCTTGTACTGGTGACAGTACAAGCTACTTATTCTGATAACAGAATAAGGCGGTGCCTCGTAACTTCACGTACACTCGTACGTGCAGAGGAAGACGGTAAGAAGAAGCGAGTACTTGGTTAGAGTAAAAAGTAGAACTGTATTTATAATAGTTAATGTCTGCAATAAATCACTATTTATCTTCATCTAACTATGTCTAAATACAAATGTGTAAATCAGTTATCTGCTCACCACTCATCGCGTGCGTCTGTCGTGGCGCGTCTTCGTTGGTTGATATAATGGCCTATATCAACCAATTAGGAACTACTTGGAAGTGCTACAGAATATTGTCCTTATGACAATATTCTGAGAATATAACTCTTATAGTTATATTCTATTAACAATTTCTTATAAATTGTTATGTAACGATTCACCCCGTTACATCACCCCCCTTAACCATCAGTCACTTTAGTGATTGATTGACTAAATGGATACTCGTCCCAAATCATTTGGGACGGGGTTTGCACTTGTTGGTCCGCGTCCACTTTCCAACATCTCATCGCATGGTAAACAAGCCCATGCGATGCGCGAGCAAGGCCGCCGAGAGCGCGTCTGCACGTCTCTGTGCGGACGCCGAAGCAGAAACTACAGCAACTGATGTCCCATCGGTTGCTGAATCGACTCAGCCTGTATCACCTGGTGATGCAGGCGCTGGTCATGAAGACACTCGTGTCTTCACAGAGTACGAGCTCGGTGTCTCGTACTCTCCTGATACGGATGACGGATCCGTATCGACGGCAATTGAATCCAAGCCGCCTGCCAAGCGTGGCATGGACGATGCTTTGCGTCGCAGCATCTTTGGTTCACCTGATGAGTCAGATGAACCATCGCCGAAGCGAAGGCGCTCGAGGTCGCGAGACTCGGGCGCTAATAGTGGTGTCGTTTCTCCTATGGACACCACTTCACAGCGAGGTGCCAGTACTTCTGTCGGCACGTCGCAGGAAGAGCGGGACCGCAATGTGTTGCGTCTCGCTCCAGAAAAGAAGGCATGGATGCCTCCAAAATCCGTCATGGATCACTTGTCGGCGACGACGAGTGATCGTTATCGAACACGATTGTTCGATTCGTCGAGGATTCATCACCTTGACCCCAGCGCGAAAGACTATCGCGCTGAACATGAGTTCTTCATCGATGCTTTCTTCAAACATCGATGGTACAGTGGGAATCACAAACGTGATGGTCCCTCACTACTTCAGGCGTGGAACGCCTACATCCATAATCTCGAGGATGTAGGTCGTGACGCTTGGAACGACAAACTTATCAAAGCTCGTGATAAGTTTGAGAAGAGAACCCCGACAGGTGCACGCTACAAGCTGCATCGTCTGTCAAGGGAGAAAGGATTACCCTGCCTTTCTTGGGGAGACTCGTGCCCATGTTGTGTGAACAACTCTGCACGAGCACCTAAGGAGGCTTACCTCCTTACCAGCCCGTGGTGGCGCGTACGTGTCTCTACTGAGATGTACGAAGGGATTGACAACCTGAAATCCCTTTACGACCGTGCCGGGAAGACTTTCTCCGGCGGTCCTTCTGCGGCACAGGATGTGCCGCGTCGTACTGCTCGACCAGACCCAGTACGTCAACCATCAATTGGGAGCGGGGCTCCCAAGAATCCCAGGACGGGGGATAGCCGCGCCACCGGACGAGGTAACTCGTCCGACGTCCGTTCACGTCGCGGTGGTTCAACAGCTGCTCTACTAGATAGCGCTGGCCACCGCGAGAGTCCTCTAATGGAGGTGGAGGAGGAGGAAAGACGCTCTCCACACGATCATGTGGATCGGTGTGTTCCCGAGAGCTTCTTTGATCGCGTAACGCAAGGGTTACGCGACGATCTCGAGCATGAGCGGAATAGGCGTCTCCAGATGGTGGACACTGCCTCGAAGCATCGAGCTGAGTTTGCCTTTGCTCAGCTTGAGAACGAGAGATCTCTGACATCTCTTCGTGACGAGCTAAGGGTAGCTCGTGGGATTGTTGATCGGTCTCGGGCTGAGATAACTGCTCTTCAGACCCTTGTTGATGCCCACCATCGGGAGCACAAGGCTCTCTGCGAGATGCTTGAGCGCAAGGGCGTTCTTCATCGGAAGAAGCAGCGTACTGATGGTACGGCTTAAGCCGACCAACGTAAAACGTGGGATGCGTTCGCATCTTACGTGGTAACTCGATCGTGTATGCATTGCCTAGGCGGTGCAATACACGAAATGGGCCAATGTACTTGGGTAGTAGTTTACTGCTACCCAAGTTAGTCACTACATGTTTTGGTAGATTAACCGTAGACAGTAGGACTAAGTCACCTTTATTAAATAAAAGAGTGTTTGCCCTTCCATTCTTGTCAGCGTTTTGCTTTTTGCTTATCCACCGCTTCGGCGATGGAGTCTTGCACAAAACGGACTACCGTTTCACGAGCCAGTATGAACTCATCTGATGACTCGTTAGCTTCAGTGTGCTGTGAGCGCACTGCAGCGACAACAACCTTTTCTTCAGTGAGGGCTTCCGCACTCTCACTGGGATCATTGTCTTCAGTGAGGGCTTCCGCACTCTCACTGGCATCATCTTCTTCGATATCGATGTTATCGATATCGGCATCAAACGCAATGACTTCTTCGTCAGAGCGTGATGAGCGTGAACCAAATCGGTTTTTGCTCGCGCGAGTCCCTCCCCTTAAACCAGAGTTACACTCTAGTAAGGTGGGTACACGCGGATGGCGCAAGCCATTCACGTAAAACGGTGTATGTGTCGTGGACGCATGCACCGAGTTGTTGATGGCAAACTCTACCATCGGCAAAAACTCACTCCAACTCTTAAAGGAGTGTACGTATCCTCGAAGTATCTCTTCAAGGACACGATTGGCACGTTCCGTCTGACCATCTGACTCTGGATGATCAGATGTCGACATCTTCAAGCGCGTTCCGAGTGATTTGAACACGGAACGCCAGAAATCAGCAGTGAATCGTGGATCTCTGTCTGATACGAGTTCACGGGGCAACCCATGAAGTCGGAAGATGGTGTCAATAAAGACACAAGCACAGCCACTTGCCGTGATTGTCTCTGGTACAGCCACAAGGTGTACCATTTTGCTGAATCTGTCAACAAATACGAGAATACCTGTATTCCCGCGTGCGTCTTTGGGTAACCCGAAGACAAAATCCATTGAGATGGATTCCCAGCACTCAGCCGGAACCGGTAGAGGCTGTAAAGGTGCACGCAGTGAAGGACTTGACTTCACTCGTTGGCAGACTTCGCATGCGCGAACATACTTTCGCACAAACTGATACTGGCGGGGCCAGTAAAAGTCTCGACTTACCGTGATATATGTTTTCTCTCGGCCACGATGTCCTCCTATAGGAGCATCGTGATACTCGAACATGATCCGCAAACGCAGATCAGTATCATCTGGAATGACAACACGTGGTGTGTCACCAGAAACGGCTGTATAATACAGTAAACCGTTACGAGTAGTGTATCGATCTGATGCAGATCGATACGCAGACGACAATCGTTTCAACGATTCTCGAGATGGTTGGGAGAGATGTGACAACAACTTCACTATCTCACCATCTTGGGCGTATGCCCGCCTCACATCATCATACAACGTTGTAGATGGGACTGAGGACGTCATAACCGCAACAGTGACTGTCTCACTGTTGGGTTTCGCGACTGTTTCAAAGTCGGGACGACGTGAGAGTGCATCAGCGACGACATTAAGTCGTCCTGGTTTGTACTCGACCGTAAAGTTGTATTCTGCAAAGAATGACAACCACCGCGCCATTCGTTGTGAAAGGTGCGGGCTGTTCACTGCCGTGCGTAAGGACGCATGGTCAGTGTAAACAACGAAGGGTCTATCTCCTAATAGATAGACTCTGAACTTCGCGAGTGCATACTTCATGGCAAGGAGTTCCTTGTCATGCACTGGATAGTTCCGCTCAGCTGGTTGCAGCTGACGCGACTGATAGCAGACGACGCGTTCAACGCCTTCAAGGTCGTACTGCATTAATGCACAGCCGATTGCGAAATCGCTGGCATCACAGACCACATGAAATGGCCTGTCCTGATCGGCTATTGCTAGGACTGGGGATTGTATCAAGCTCTGCTTGATACCCTCAAAGGAGCGTTGACATTCAGCGTTCCATAACCACCTCTCGTTCTTTTTCAACAAACGAGAGAGGTGTACAGTCATCTCGGCGTAATTGCGTGAATACTTATGCAAATACGCCGCTAGCCCAAGGAATTTTCGAAGACCTTTGACATCGACCGGCACGGGCCATTCGGTGATCGCCTTGATCTTTTCGGGATCAGGACGTACACCGTTCTTACCAACGATGCACCCAAGAAGTGGTATTTCGCTTGTTGCAAATATACACTTCTTGAGGTTTGCATACAATTGATGCTTTCGCATGATTGTAAGAACTTGTCGGACGTGGTACTTGTGAACCTCAACGTCCGACTTTCCATCCATAGCTCGACTATGGATGAATACGTCATCGAAATAACTCGGCGCGAATTCTCGTACTGGCCTCAACAGATGTGATACACACCTGTTGAACGTGGCAGGGGCATTACTGAGCCCTTGTGGCATTACTAGCCATTCCCAGAGCATGCCGCTAGGCGTGCTAACTGCGGTATAGGTTATATCCCGTTCCCGCATAAGGATTTGATAGAAGCCATCCATCAAATCCATGGACGAAAAGATGGTACTCTTTGACATACCATCAATGATTACGTCCTTCCTCGGTATCGGCGTCTGAGCCGGTACCGTTGCAGCGTTCAATTTGTTAAACGCGTGCACTATCCGCCACCCTCCTGTTGCTTTTCGCACACAGAAGGTCGGAGAGCTATGTGGGGAAGTTGATTCTCTCACATGGCCCGCTGCTAAACGATCGGCAAAGAACTTGTCGATCGCAAGTACTTGTTCACGAGGCAGTGGCCACTGCTTCATGACACAGTACTTCGAGCCTGGTTTAAGCTCGACTTCGTGTCGAATACTTTTATCCTTCGGTAATTCGCACGGAACAGTTTCAGGGAATACATCCTTGAATTCAACCAAATCTTCATAGAGAGGATTTTCCTTGAGCGATTCCCATGATTGGGACTCATATCGCTCAATTCGTGTCTTTTCATCTAGGACACTCTCGTCCATAGATGAACTACTGAGAACTCTCTCGTTCTCAGTAAACACTGTTGCTGACCTTATGTCGGTTACATACTCGTCTTCAGCGACGAGTATGCAGATCTGCTTGACTTTGCCACTACGCAGATCACGCAAGAATCTTTTATGTTCGAGCGTTGGCAACTGAGTGATCTCCGAAGTTAACTTCGGAGGCGCAATCAGATCAAGTGTATAAGCGCCTACACATGATCCGTTATTGACTATGACATTCAATGTCTCTGTCATTTCCTGGGGACTTATTCCCTCAGGCTTCGAAGGACTTATTCCTTCGTCTTCCCGGGGACTTATTCCCGCGGGTTTCGGGGAACTTATTTCCGCCGTATTTGTAATCTTGGGACTTATTCCCTTTACTTCCTCTAGCTGGGGTTGCGCAACCACAGCGAGATCCTCTACGAAAGACTCTCCAGTCGATCTAGGATTATCGTTTCGCTTAACCTGAGCGATCGATTGTTTCTCTTCTAGATGTTCCCCTCTAGGGATACATCTTTGTCCCAGTCCACCCGACTTATTCGAGTGGTGGACCTTCGGCGCAGCCTGTGTTTCCTCACAGCCGCCGGAACTTTGCTCCGAAGTGTAACCGTTTGGTACACTAAGGTTTTGTGCAGTCGTACTAACGACCGTACCACAAGTGAGGCCATCGCACTCACTCGTAGTACATCCACACGCTTGTGGACTCTCCAAAACGTTCATCAGATGGCCATCTAATGAACAAGCGGCAGGCATCGTTACTGTCCGATGTTGCCAGTTTACCCGTGGTTCGTACCTTCCGAGCCACGGTATTCCAAGGATGACATCAAATTTGTCATCCAAATCCAATACGATAAAGTCATCGTCATATTGGGTATCTTCTAGCGTATAGTGAATCTTCACTATACGCTTCATGACGGTTACGGATGCGCCTGTCGCAAGACGTACCGTCATCCTCGTAGGAGGTGTGTCACATTCACTGAATTTAAAGTGACCATCTTCTAGCGATTGGCGTCGCACAAAATTGTTGGACGCCCCACAATCGACTAGAGCTCGAAGGGACAACTTATTCGTCACTTCGAGTTTCAAGGTAATGAGTGAGATCTCATTACCTAGAGCAGCAACGCACAATGTCTGTGTGTTGGGAGCAACCTTCATCAAGAGGCCTACAAATTCTCTTGACGTTGCTGGATCAGTAGGGTGCTCCGCACCTACTGATCCTGTCCGTTTTTTGACGGTCCATCCCGTTGTTGCGTCTTTGCACCAACTGCGGACCCTCGTCCCTGCCCCTTTCTCATGGGTGGACGGTCACTACGCCCAGTGTCGCGAGACACTGGACGAGGGGCACTACACTCGTAAGCGTAGTGTCCTGTCTTTTGACATCTGTTGCATCTCTGCAACTTCTTGTAGCCTGTAGAGCGAGCCTTCTCGCTCTCTACATAACAGAGTTCCATCGGCTCCGGACCTCCGTTGTCATATCGTCTCGGTTGACGATATGATGTCGAGCTGGCGCGAGCCTGTCTCAGACTGAAGTCTTCCTGCTCCGCAATGGAAATGGCTTGTTCTAGTGAATCTAGTTCAAGCCGGAACAGGTGAGTCTTGACGGGACCATCCGCAAGACCCTGCATGAACACCGAAACCAACGTGTGTTCATCCACCGGATTGGAACTTATACAACTCGTGAGATGTCGTATATGTTGAGCGTAAGCGTGCACATCACGCTTACCCTGCTTGAGCTTCAAGAGTTCGGTTCGAGCTCTGAACTCAGCTCTAGGCGGTTCAAACGTTTGTCTGAGCCGCGACTTGAAGACTTCCAACGACCCAAACGCGTATGGGTCGTGCAGCTTGAGCCCCAGTGCCCAAGTCTTGGCACGTCCTGCCAGATTTGACTGGGCAAATGCAACTTGCATATCCCCGTCGTCGATGCGACGCGCCCTTATGGCGTCATCCAATTCGACGAACCATCTCAAGAGGGAGTCTTCTTCGACCCCCTATACTTTGAGATGTCAATCTTCAAAGTCTCGGGCCGACGCGAGTGCATCGACCCGCCAGCAGCAGCCTGCTGCTGTCTCAACAGTTCAAACTGTTGAGCACCTTGTTCTCTCAACAACTCTGCTTGTTGAGAACCTTGTTGGTGAAGCAAGGCTACTTTCTCGCGTTCTGCGTCAAGTTCATTTTGAATGAACTTGGCGATAGTAGCATGTTGGGCATCTCTATTGAGAGCCTCTAGCATGACGCTAACAGCATGGATGCCCATGGTCGAACCCATTCGTTCAACCGCATCCCATTCGACATCGCTCAAATGGGAGTAGCCGTCACGCGTAGCGTGAAAGCTTTGGTCATCTTCATCATCCAACATATTCATGTTGGATGTGAACGCGGTCCTTGGACGGACTACGAAGTGCTACCAGGTGTAACGGGGCACCCTGAAGCTTGTACTGGTGACAGTACAAGCTACTTATTCTGATAACAGAATAAGGCGGTGCCTCGTAACTTCACGTACACTCGTACGTGCAGAGGAAGACGGTAAGAAGAAGCGAGTACTTGGTTAGAGTAAAAAGTAGAACTGTATTTATAATAGTTAATGTCTGCAATAAATCACTATTTATCTTCATCTAACTATGTCTAAATACAAATGTGTAAATCAGTTATCTGCTCACCACTCATTGCGTGCGTCTGTCGTGGCGCGTCTTCGTTGGTTGATATAATGGCCTATATCAACCAATTAGGAACTACTTGGAAGTGCTACAGAATATTGTCCTTATGACAATATTCTGAGAATATAACTCTTATAGTTATATTCTATTAACAATTTCTTATAAATTGTTATGTAACGATTCACCCCGTTACATTTTGGACATAATCTCGACTAAACATGAGCTCTAAGTATAAAAAATACCGGATTGGCGAGCGACAGTGAGTAGAGGAATGGGAGTGGCGGGTCTGATACTACATCGTCATTTAATCGTGTTGCGATATGATAGATATACGCGGCGTTACAAAACAAACTTTTTAACAAGTGTGGAGCCAATTCAACCTGATCATAAGAGGCAAAGCCAATCATCGGCTTGCACCTCAGTAGTTAAGCTTGTGTTCTGCAGGTGCAAAAAAGGCTCCAGCTTTCGAATTCTTATAACATACATGTGTCATGATGATACTCTCACGCATAACTCTGGGTATGTCCATGTGTACACAGGGCTGCTGGTGAGCTCGGATAACTACACGCACAAGCATGACTACGCGAAGTATAGGCTGGTCAGGCCACAACCACATCTGTCGACAGCAACCACCAAACGGCTACACGATGCGTTACTATTCCAAGGAAACTGAAATAAAGAGAATGTAGTAGAATCTCCATTCTAGTGCCCGTCACATGTGCATGGTCCAACGAGTCCGAGTAGTTTTCGAGATCAAAAGGTCACAAAGAAAGGTAAAGAATATGAATATGTCAAAGTTGAACTCAGGCAGCTGCGGGCATTAGTCACAAGAGAAGGAGACGTGCTCGCACAGAATAAACAAAGATCGGGTATACTACGATGCATCGGTCTCCTCGGCACCTGCTCTACAGGAGAATTAGGAAAATGACGCCACGTAGAACCACAAAATGACAGCAGACGTCGGCGTTGCTGACATGGCGTAGGAAATTACCGACATCTTGCAAACTATAGCAACGTAAATTAGGCATTTTCCTTCACTTTCTCTTTTACACTTCTACGATGCTCTGCATGCAAGAGTAGCCTGCCTTTCCTACGCTCAATATAATACAACAGACACCGTCATTGGTAAATAGCTCTTGTCGCTTTCACAGGGAAGCTATTGTTCTTGACCTTCCATGTTGAACATCGTGTGGGCTTATTCCACGCTCGATTATTCCTGCTCAGCGTTTGCGAGATCCAGCCGGACATTGCACAAAAAGTTGCAGCGAACATAAAGCAGATACGCTTTATGGATATGGCAGTGCTTTTTGTAACAAGCGCGACGCGTTTGATACAGACATGAATATAAATTGGGATATTGACGCGCACGCTCAGTATTATTATAATCTGCAACTCATTCATGTTAGTAGCAGAAAGATCGCTCACGGATATCCATATACTAGAAACAGCAAGTGTACAAAAATCACTAGCGTCGGGGGTGACATTCCTCAGTAGTATTAGCTTCTTCTCGTGATTATCTTCTTCTTCTTGTCAACATCAGTGAAAGGGCTGCGATGGCCACCACTTCCTCCACTATGCTGTGACGCTTGCCTTTCTTGGCCTTTCAAAAGACTCCTTACCCAACGGCCCTCCTTGACTTGCTCCATTTCAACACCCATATCGACCACAGTACACTTCTTTGACTTCTTGTCTCCCTTGCGGAAGCTTGCTCAAGATCCTCTAAAGCCCTCTTCGTCACACCGGCTTTCTTGCGCGTAGCAGCGCCAATCTCAAAAATGCAAGGCCCTCATCAACCTGTAAATACATTGTCGTGGGCTCATCAATGAACGAACTGATGTGCGACACAATCGCGTACTGATAATCGATATTATGCAAAATGTGGCCTTCGTTACAAATAAGCGCGAGCCGCTGTCCTGCAGCGGACCCTCGTCCTGCACGCCGAGAGCAAGTTTGACCTTTTCCACTCGAGCTCAGATAGATCAATTTTTAAACGGGTATCAGATCGTTTTCTAGCAGACCTATCTAGGCTTTGTTAATGTTCTCGAGAGCGTTTTTGGCCACGTAAAGGACTGGAAAGGTCTTTGATCTACACGAGGGGATCAAATGAAGGCACGATAGCCACTGCAGCCTGCAGTTCGGCCAAACGGTTGCCGATCTTTTAGGTCTCCACCACTGTAAAGAGTGCGTGACCAAAAGCCAACTTGAACAGCACGAACTTGTTGACATCTAAAAATTGAAGTGACATGAGCAGTTGTAGTAGTAGTCATACGTCGTATCAGCAGAGGACACGGCTATCTCATCGCGCAAACGTACATCTGAATGGAAAGTGTAGCTACACGTATACGCAACGCTCGCCTTGTCTTTCTCTCGCCATGTTGTAGTGCGTCGGAGACAGTAGCCAATATCCGGATCTGGTCAGCGGTCCTACGGCAGGCGTTTCAATATAATAAGCGCCAGCTTTGTCCAGCACTACAGACATGATTAACCCGCTTCGAAGGGCGCACGTAGTCGTATCAATGGCTTGCAGTGGTAACGCATCAAAGTCTCTTACACGTCTGGACCCAGCGAAGAGCCTCACTGAGTATCAAGTCTGGACTTGCTACCGGATAGCGACTAAGTAGCTGAACCTGTATCATGCCGGTCGGGCCACCGACAATAGCTGCAGCAAACTCGAGCACTGCAAAGGATGCAAAGAGACCGTCCTGCACATTTTCCTGGGAGTGTCCCACGGCACGAGCATGTTGGAACCTATTACTTCGGCATTGAACCGTAAAGATGGCCTTAAAATTCTTGGTTATCAACAACTTTGAGCATTGTGCCCATCGGTGGGCTCCACCCGATACCGCACCATCTCCGCCAGCTACTGATACATCGTTTTCAGGATGATCACAGGGCCGCGAAAGAAGAATTGAGACGCATCTGGTTCATTTTAGGTTTCATTTACCAAATACATCTCCGGGTGGAGCGCAATGCGGTGGTATGTCGCGGGAAGATCGTTTCTCCGGGCGAAAGTGCGTCGGCATTCTGGGAATTCGGTATACGACAGTTGAAGGCGACTGCTCTACGTGAACATCAGCCGTGGCTACTGCAGTCAGAGGCGCGCGTCTCCACAAATGTTTTAAATACTTAGTAAAGACCCTCAAGGGCACCCGACTTCACGGGACATCAGTCACGACAAGCCGCCGACCCCGGCGCTTGTGTTTTCGGCTTAGGGCCTTTCAAACATCTTGCTCATGTTGACATGAAAAATGGACGATCATGAACCTCCTCCTCCTTCTCTCGCCAAGTTGTCTGTGTACTACTTTCAGCCATTACTTGATTTCCTCGTTTATAATCTCAAACTGATCCCGAAATGTGGCGCCGACGTCGATCATATGACGGGTGATAGCCATCACTTGTCTTGATTACCAGTCGTTGGCAGTTGAAGCAGAAAGGATGAACGTCAATGTGGCATTACACTCGCGTAAACATCGACAGTATGTTCATGACGAAGTGGCAGCGAAATGCGTTGAGAAGATGGTGGATATGTTATGCGAAGGGTATTGTATAGTAGAGCGATTACACACGCAATGAACGGGCGTTCAACGGGTTTGTACGTTTGTTGAATCCTATACTTGTTTGATTCGCAGGCTCTCGTTTTCACGACATTGAATACCACTCCTTACCTAAACTCTAAGTAGTGGCAGCTGCTAAGACACATCAACATAATATTCGCAACAGTCATGGCAATGACTACTGCATCCTCTTTCTCATACGACAATGACTTTGGCGCTCCCTTTTTGCATCATGCTATTGCGAAAAACAGAGCGACGGGAGAGCGACTCCCGATCTTCCATCCGGCAGATCTGACGTCTGAAAATACGTCAACGGAGATTTTCGTGTGCGAGGACAAGACTGGTGAAGGTGAACTACTATCATTCTAAACATCTGAACTAAATGTCCGCAGGTCGTAAGGTTACATCCGGTGGCAATACGTCTGTCCAGAACAAGTCAATGGCTGCATTTTTATCAGTTGTAACGAATAGGAGCGATCGACATGGTGTCCAATGAGTTGCAGAGGCGATTTCGACGCGACTACGGAAGGAATTTGGCATATGATGCATCTCGACCTCAGAGAAATGTCTCGTGTCGCGTTGGCTGTAAACGGATGGCTGAGTATTTGCATTGCACATGTTACACTGGCTTTTGTAGGGTTTTCAAATGGTAGTGGACTTCGTGTAGTTATACCATCGCCTATGATGACTTTCGCTTGTCAAATTGTCGACGTCGGCGCCACATTGTGGCATCTGTTTGAGATTCAACGAATCATAAAGTGAGGGAACCAACTATTGGCTGAAAGTCGTACACAGCTCAAGTTCGTGTCGCCTCACTTGACATGCCGCTTTGCGCTGCTTGCTGCGTCGCGAAAGGCTTCAACAAGTACAACCTCGTTTGTCAATTGGTACGCAAAATGACAGTTACAAGATGGTGATTTCTACTTTTTTGCTGTTGATTTGCAGGTTCCACGGTGGACAGCGACAACTACCGCGTCCAGTGTGCAAAGAATGTTTTCGCAATGGGAAGAAGCCGGTAGATCTTGGGGGCGAGCCCGTGATACTTCCGTGAGTGCGAGAATGTTTGATATACGTGAAAGAACTTTTGGGTCCATAATGGTCTGTGGACGTCTGTTCGTGAGCAGGGTTCGTGTCTCAGGCGACCTGAAAACAGCAAGTCTAGCAGATTTCCAACTGCTTAGTGTCATTGGACAGGGCACTTTTGGAATGGTACAATTTCAAGCAATGGATACATTGGCTGTAAGAAGAGTGTGAGTTTTCATTTAACTGACTGATGGTTGCATGCTACTAGGTGCTGTTGGTACGACACGCGACCACTGGAACAGTACACGCTATGAAGGTACTTGACAAGAAGCGCCAGTAGTCATTGCGTAATTTGAATGAAGGGAAACAACTTGCTTCTTCTCATTGTGCTGTCTACTTTTGGATGCGACAGATCATCAGTAAGAAGTTCGTTGTGGATATGGACAGCGTGCACCACATGAAAACGGAGCGCAATGTCATGACAAAGGTTGGTCTACTGTTTGCGGTGGATGGACAGGACTTGCGAGTAATTACGTACCTTTTACTTTTAGGCTGACATCATGTTTGGCGCTTTGACAGATTCGCCATCCTTTTGTGATCGGGCTCAATTACGCTTTTCAAACAGAATCAAAGGTAACTACATTTCATGTGTGGTAGGTGTTCGACTCGCTCGTAATATGCAATTCGTTGGCGTTGTGCGTAAGATCTATCTCGTGATGGAGTACCAGTCTGGTGGAGAGCTATTCTCGTACTTGAAAGAGCAAGGCACTTTTACGGAGGTATGGTGTATTCTGCATTCGTTAACTCAGGACCTATTTGACCCTCGTCTTGCTTTTAATAGGACGTCGCTCGCTTTTATTTGGCCGAGATGGTTCTAGCATTAGAGCATTTGCACGGACGCGGTATCATACACCGGTTCGTGCAATGATCTTTTCGACATCGTAAAGATCTGCTGATGTAACACCCGTGTGCGTTATTCTCATTAGCGACCTAAAGCCTGAGAACGTACTCATTTCAGCCGAAGGGCACATCAAGTTGACCGACTTTGGCTTGGCGAAGGAATACATAGAAGGGCAGGAACTACTAACCGTGTGCGGAACGAAAGAATATATGGCACCCGAGATGCTTCTTGGCAAAGGATATGACTCGGTAAGATGCGCATATTGCAGACGAGCGAGCATGCCAGTATTATTGACCTTTGTTCTACCCAGGCCGTGGATTGGTGGTCGCTTGGTGCTCTTGCGCACGAAATGCTGATTGGAAGTCCACCGTTTCGATCGAAATCACCTGCAGACTTGCACAAGAAGATTATCTCAGCCAAGGTCAGTCTCAGTCAGTGCTTGCCGTGAGGTGGTCGTCCGTTTGATTTAACTACTACCGTACAGCTACAATTGCCACGATGGCTGTCGGGTGAAGCTCACTCGTTGATCAAGTCCCTCTTGGAGCGGAACGTGAGCAAACGATTGGGTGGCGGCAAGTCCTCTATGTTTGTCGTCAAGGGAGTACAGGCACTAAAACGTCATCCGTTTTTTAAGGTATGCTCTTGTAGTGGGGTTCATTCTGCGATATTGCGCTGATATCGTGAAGCGGTGCAGTCAGTGAATTGGGAGAAGGCGGAAACTCTTCGCGTCCTTCCTCCTCAAGTACCAAGTGTTTCTGACGAAGTGGACACGAGCAATTTTGACAAGAAGTTTACAGACATGCCAGTTTCAGACCTGATGTGTGAAGCGGTTATCGCTGAAGAGTATGGTGATCTTTTTCGGGGATATTCATTTTGCTGGCAAGACGGTATCAAGGAAGATATCTCTAATCCGCAGTCGCCGATCAACACAACAACGCTACCGACGATTGCAGCTCTCGTAAGTGATGGTGATGATATGAAGGACATCAACGACGCCATAGCCATAGCCGCCTGTAAGCAGGTGCAATTTCGGCCCAATTGACGGATCACAGCTTCCTCTTCTCCTCTAGCTCTGCGGCAAGCGTATCGATGGAATCAAACTGGCGCGTCCAACGCGAGTTGTATAGAAACGGGCGCAGGTCAAAACGGTTGTCGTCGGGCGAGTAGTTCTCAGCGTGATAGGATGGAGTCAGTGTAGTCATCTTGTGGCGGTTGATTGAGTAGTAGAAGAAAAATCGCTTCACCTTCGTTGCCACAACAGTGGGCGTCAAGAAATTCCACACGTGCGTAAGCTTGCGAAACATCCAGTAAGGACCGCAGCGGTCAATCTTCCGCAGTCGACCAAAAAATCCTAGCTCGTCATAAGTCATGCCCATGTCTTCCTCATCGAGCTGAGAATGATCAGCATCTTCTTCAGCATTCTCGTCGGTAGGACGCAGTTCCGCAGTCGGAGGCGCCTCTTCAACAGTCTGCAGAGTGGGATAGTAATATCGGACAGCAGCCCAGCGAAGCAGTTTCTTCAAGTCACATTTCGACACGGCGCCAATCGGATTTAAATCACCACTGCTGCAATCGTACTTGGTCATGTACCCACGCAACGCTTCATCTACGTTACCGGAACTGAGCACAAGCAGAAAGCCAGTCTTGGAACGCACCCACGGCAAAAGCTGAGCAAGAAGGTAAGCCATTACCATTCGAAGGCGCGCCTGGATGTTCTGCAGCGCAAGATCCTCTTGCATGGTTCCTCCTTGAGAAAGGTACTGAGGGGTCTTACCTGTCAAAAGCGAAAAGGTCCTGACCACGGCATCCACCATCATGTCCATACACATGTCAAGATGGTAGCACCCAATTTCTTTCGCTAGTGTTGCAGCACGTTTCTTAGTGGCGGTCGAGCTGTTTTTTGTTCCCATATACGTAGTGTGCAGAACGTGTGATGCCAGCTCAGCAGGCGTCAAAGGCTCATACGGTTGGTCCGAGGTACCCGTAATCCGCTGCACGTCCTGTAAAACCTGTTCGTCACCATTGTTAGCGGCCTCAACCACGAGATGGCACATCACACCAACAATGCACGCCACAGATGACGAGTCCGCACCACCCGATAATGGTAAGAAAAATCCACTCCCCCCACTTCGTCGCAAATAATCCCACATCCAGCACGCTGGTCCGAGTGCAATCTCCTCTTCTGGCACGTGGTAACGTACTTCAATAGCAGTATTAGGCTTGACAAACGACGTCTCATCGTGACACAAGCGGAAAGCGACGTCAACTTTGGTGATGACCGTTTCCAGTGAGCTTGCTTGCTCGCTCCGACTACTGACCGAGCCACGGTACGACCGCACATCGTCTAGATCCACAGTAGCCGTCACGACTTCGACATCCTTCACTGAGAACTGAGAGCCCTGCGCTACAACGTGTCCATTCACGACAATGACAGCACAGCCGTCATAGTACAGACGACCACCGTCGCAACCTTGTTGATTGGCGTAGAGGTACACGCCACCGCTTTTGGTCGTAGCTCCTCGAATCAGATCCATGCGCTGGTGAAGCTTCCGCAGCTGATGGTGCGAGCCGGAGCCGTTGCCAATAATCTCTACACCTGCTAAGCCGAGGTTAATGTGCGGACTACCAGGCGTAAAAAGCTCCTCGCACGCCTCGGACGCGCACGAGGTATCGAGCATCGACACGGCACCAGGTCCAAAAGGTACGTGCACGGCCTTCGTGAACTGCTGCAAGCTCAGAGGCAGCACAAATTTCTCCAGTCCGTCTGGCGTGGCTTTTCCCGCATTCGATTTCCACGTCGTGAACCACCGCGTCTCCCTGTAGTTGCCATCGTCCGCCAGAAAGAGCTTGGGGCGAATCAAGACGATGCGCTGGTTGAGGCAAAACACGCGGCAGTTGTAGCGCACGCCGTTGTGCATAACGGGCATGCCAATGTCGCATAGAATGTCAATCGTCGCGTCCGAGCGCAAGAGCGTCTCGAGCGACTGCCAGCAGTGGAAGAACGTGTCCTGTTCGAGGAAATGGTCCTCGCAGCCGTAGCCACAGACCTCGAGCTCTGGACCCACGCGATAGCGCGCACCACGTTTCTTGGCCACGTAAATGGACTCGAGGATGCGCGCGAGGTTGCCGTCAAAGTCCAGCGCCCATTGGTTCAAATTACACGTGGCGACCGTCACGAGCGCGCTCATTTCGGACTTGCGCCTTTTGAGTTGTGAGTGTGCCTACGGACGGCGAGGTTGTTGTTGTGAGGTGGTGTGGTGTGGTGCATTGTGGTTTGATGTATGCCACGTTATATTCGGACCGTGCCTTTTTGATTGAAGTTGTTTGCTCCTCATCACGTGACTGCCGTCTACTGTCCGGTCGTGAGCGTATTAGACATTCGGCTTGAGGGCACGCATCCTTGTTTGTTGTCGAATTGTAGCTTCGAAGGTCTTATGGTGGCGCCTGCAATACGCAACGCGCCGAGCGGTCGAAGATGTGGACTACTACTGGGAAGGTTTGACTTGAGTAGAAGTTGGCAGCGTGGTTGTTGCGTTTTGACCGAACGGACCCTTGCACCGGCAATCGATTGAATTGCGATCGCAAGTGGAAACTTTTGGACGCACCCATTTCCGGTCTCGCCAAATGTATCCTTACCCGTCCATCTTGTACCTCAGGTGCCTGTTTTTTGCCGCATCGAGGGCGCCTCGTCTGCCGAGTCTTGTCTCTGACAGTCAGGCGAGCTCTGCTCTGTACCACATGTCAGTCAAAAAAATGTCATTCAGGCTGAAGTTCTCGACACTTGAAAGGGCACCTCCACAAACATCAATGCCCACATACAAACCGCCACATGTCCAGTCAGTCGACTACAACCTGATCTTGCTGTGTCAGGACTTACTTGTCAAGCTTTGGAAGGCTGGTTGGTGCAGTCCCTTGGTCAAAAGGAAGGACCCGATCGGAGGTCCCTTTCTAACGGAGCGAGTGTGTCACTCGCGCACTGCTGTTCTCCCGCGATTGCACCCTTTTGACGTTAGGTAACGACCGTGTAGTGATATCACTGGCTCAAACGGGACGCCTATCCTTCCGACACGGCAAATCGTGCTGCCCGTCGCGACTTTCTCGCCAAGCCCCCACACACAGGGCGCTTCACCCACTCACTCACCCATCCAGCCAACTAAACAGCAGCTCTCGTCCATCTGGCCGAACAAAAGGGCAGACAAACGATCGGACGGACAGACAACCGCTCGAGTCGCAACGGAGACAAAGATTCGTAGTGTCCGGGACGGTCAATGACCGCGTGCGTATTCACTGCCCCCGAGCCAAAGTCGTCGACGTCTACAAGCGTGGAGACCGGGAGTACCGGCGTCAACGTCTTTGACCGCCGGCTTTTGGCTAATACAAGTGGCAGTGGCAGTGATGATGGCTACGAGCTGCTGGAGATCGAGTTCCCCGGTGCCGTCGCGATCTCGACAGCCGTGAATGCACTGTCTTTGCTCGGCTTTGCCTTCATCCTCACGACGTACCTGCTGTTTCCACCCGTGCGGAAACAGCACTCGTCGCTGCTCGTCTGGGTCGCGCTCACGGGCATGCTCTTCCATGGGACGGTCCTCACGCAGACGACTACCGTTTACGGCACTTGCTGCTCCACGGCTTCGGTGGTGCAACTCGCGTTGCTCTCGCATGAGCTCTATTTCTTTGCACTGGCGTTCAACTTTTACTTCACGACCAAGTACCCGTTCCGATCGTCACGGTGGCTGAACCCGCTCTACCATGTCGCCGTTTGGGCGATTAGTATTGCGGTTGCAATTGTGGCCTGGCATTTGGGCACGGGGCGAGTCAGTTCTTATGGCTATTGCTGGTACGCGTCCGACTACGACGGTATAATCGGCAATAGCGAGTTCATTCTGCTGGAAATCTTTTTCATCCCAATCTCGGCTGGGTACTGCGTCAGTATTGGCTGGTACATCTTAGCAACGAAACGAGTGCGGCTTACGATGGGTGGCAGTGCCAAAACTCGCACGACGCTTGATTCTATGCGTTGTTTCTTGTTCTGGAGCTTCTCGCTGTGGGTCGTTGTGACGATCCCGTACATTCTGCGGCATCGCAATGTCGTCGCAAAAAACTCAGCGGGCGAAAAAACGTTGCGCTTCTTAGGACGTGTGGCCATCGCGTTTTTGGGCACCGGTAGTGCACTACTTTGGACGAAATCAATGGGCGTGCTCAAGACATTTAAGATGTGGCGCCAGCGGAATTGGGATGACTACTTCAAGGTCTATGATGCCTCTTGGGTACTGCGTCGCGAAATATTGTACTTCGCCACGAAGGGGATTCAGCTTGGCGCTAGTAGCGCGAAGGGAGTGCAGGAGCACGATAGCGTCAATCCGAATGCAGAATCGATCTTCTCTTTTACGCAACGCTCAGGCATTTTCCCCTGGCAGCTTCGACTAGGAGCTATATCGCAGACGCCAAGTGTGCTCTCATTTGAGCTAGATGGTGCCACATCCGGCCAGAAAGCTATCTTTCGTGACTTCGAACCTGAAGTCTTTCACGAAATCCGACAGATGTCCGGGATCACTCGCGGGAGCTACATTCAATCGTTTAAGGGCAGTACGCGCGAGCGGTTCAGTGAAGGAAAGAGCGGGTCGTTCCTTTACTATACTGGTGACCAGATTTTTATTCTCAAGACGTGCACACCTGCTGAGCAGAAATACCTGTTGTACATTCTGCCTCAGTACATGGCACACCTTCGTCGAAACCCGAATAGCTACCTATGTCGGTATGTGGGTTGTCACGAACTAGTGATGGAGCATCACTCGGTGCTATTTATCGTGCTGACCAACATTTTGAACAACCCGAGCGTAAACATTGACGAGCTGTATGATCTCAAGGGCGCTTGGGTCGGTCGGCACCGCGGTGACTCACCTACCGGAACACAGCGAGTGTGCAAGTTCTGCGGTCACGATTTTGTGGTAGGCATGTCTGAAGAAGTGTGCTCTCAGAACCCAACTGCTGGGTTTGGTCATGCGGAGTTTGTCGTGGGCAAAGATCTAAATTGGTCGTGTCGCCGACTTGGACTTCACACTGACGTGGCTGAGCAACTGGGGAGTCAGTTGTACGCCGACACGGAGTTCTTGCAGCGGATGAACTCGATGGACTACAGTTTGGTAATTGGTTTGAGCCGCCACAAATCGTTCAGCTCTCAGACTGGCGGTGGAACTATGCTGTCACGGAGCGTTGGTCCAGCTGTGAAGGAAAAGCCGTGTGTGAGTGGAAGTAGTGGTGACGAGGCAGGTTACTTGGAGTCGTCAAGCCCCAGTGGTGCGACCCTTCGAGGGATCAATCGTCCTGCGGGCAATACGACAACCTTTTCTGCAGACGCGTGTGTCGTAAATATGGGCATCATTGACATTTTGACCCCGTGGTCATTCAAAAAGAGTCTTGAACGATGGGTGCGTGTACGGCTTCAGTGTCGCGACAAAAAGGGAATTTCTTGCATGAAGCCCATCCCATATGCAGACCGCTTTCGCCGCAATGTAATCGATACGGTCATCTTTGGTCGCTATCTAGGCCCTAAGCGACGCCACCTGGAGAAACAGCAAAAAGAGTCGATTATGGTGGATTTCACGAGCGTGTCCATGGACGTAAACTTCTCGATAGACATCGCGAACCTGTCTGTGGATACGTCCAATCTCTCCATGGAGATATAAATTGCACACTCTACCAAGTTTCTCACAACATGCACTCTCGCAGCGGGATGATGCCACTGCAGTGATCGACCGGCTTGATCGGATGCGACTACTGGAGACTGATGCAGTAAACTGTAAGCACGCACGTCATGGTCGCGTTCTCCCATCGAATCGCCACGCTGCCTGCAAATTTTACACAACGCAAGCATCGGACGATCGTGTCAGGCGGTAACCCCTATATTATGGAGCATCCATACCATGCTCTATAAAGCTCACCGTCTCGCTTGGCGTCCCAGAAACACGACGAGTTGGTGTGAAAGCCAGCATTCCGCTTCTGCAGAATCGTGCAGTTCACTGCGTATGTATGTTCCAAGCAGCACTCATTAGACAAATGCGGTCATTTATGTGCATAACTATTTAACACATTGCAACAGTCGGTTTGCGCACCAATGTACTTGAAGCCAGCTGAGCCGTTGGCCACGCCCTTGAGCTCCTTGAGGCATTGCGACGAGATATCCGTCGTCCACTGATGCACGTCCGACGCATGATAAGTCTGACCTGCGAGCACCGTCTCCGGTATCTACGCACAGATAAAAAGTTTCGCATACAAATGGACTGATGAGCTTCAAAAGACCTTCTGACCGGGTATCTCGCAGTCGACTGACCTCGAGACTGATCTTCTTGACCTCGTCCTGGATCTCGTGGAACTCGTACTGGAACAAGAAGTTGATCAGTAAAATGAGCAGAAGTGTTCGTCTATGGCTGTTGATATTGGCAGCAAGCAGCGGGACGAACAGACGCACCGCTGCAGTCTCCATGCTGATCCTTCGGCGCTTGAACGGGCGATCACAACTCATGCACTTTCAAGCCCGCATACAAAGTTCGGGTCTCTCTCTTAAGTACGCATCATATAAGTACGCACCGGTCTCGCTTCAAACATCGTACTTTACGCGCACGCCCGACGAAGCCAACTCAATTGCAGCAGCTCCTTTGTCTAGCGTACGTTGAGCTGCGACTGTCCGTTCTTAAGCTTCTTGCGGTATATACGAATAGACCCATCTTCTGTGCGAGACTCTTGCGCGTCGGACAGAGTGTTTTTTGGTACTGGAACCGCTCGGGACGACCTGTAATAGAAGGTTTTTGTGTGTCATGGCAGCGACGTGGCAGGCTCGGGCGTTTGTATCACCGCAGGTTACGATCGTGAGCAATGGGTACGACGCTGTTAGTGGCACCCATATTAATGGACGTGCAGGTGGGTTATGCTTTGCCCAAGATGCCGAGAAGCGGAGAATTGCGGACAAGGAGGACGAGGAGCTCCAGCCGATCGAAATCGTGCCTTGGCGCATGCGTGAACGAATGAAGACAATGGATGTTGCTCTGGTACTGTGTCTCAATATTGGCACTGACCCTCCTGACGTGGAGAAGGCGACACCGTGTGCGCGTAAAGAGTGCTGGGTGGATCCGTTCTCGATGCCGGCTAAGAAAGCTCTCGAGACGATTGGCAACACATTGCAATCCCAATATGAACGCTGGCAACCACGTGCACGATATAAGCAGAGTTTGGACCCGACTGTGGAGAAGATTCGAGAGTTGTGCGTGAATCGACGACGTTTGGCTAAGCACGATCGCGTGCTGTTCCACTACAACGGACATGGGGTGCCTCGACCGACACAGAATGGAGAGATATGGGTGTTTAACAAGAGCTACACGCAATACATCCCGCTGTTGGTGTATGACTTCCAGTCGTGGGTTGGTACGCCATCGATTTACGTGTTTGATTGCTCGGCGGCAGCAGTGCTGCTGGGTCACTTCACGTCACCACCGATAAACCCCGCACAATTGCATGGAAGAAATGGGAGCCCACCGGCAAATGAAGCCATTGTGCTTGCTGCTTGTTCTGCTGATGAAATACTACCGATGAATCCAGACCTCTGTGCAGACGTGTTTACCTCTTGTTTGACGACTCCGATTACAATCGCTTTGCGTTGGTTCATTTCGCAGAACGAGCTCTCGATGGCGCACCTTGATGTAAGCTTTATTGAACGTATTCCTGGGAAGCTTGCAGATAGGAAGACCCCGCTAGGAGAATTGAATTGGATTTTCACAGCTATCACCGATACGATTGCATGGAACATGCTGCCCCCTGAGTTATTTCAGAAGTTGTTCCGACAGGACTTACTCTTGGCATCGCTTTTTCGCAACTTCCTACTCGCCGAACGGATTATGAAGTCTGAAGGTTGTTCTCCATGCTCTCTTCCAGCGTTACCACCAACGAGCCATCACTCGCTTTGGCGATCTTGGGACCTGGCTGCTGAAGTCTGTTTAAACCAGCTTTACAAGTTGTCGAATCCGTACCCGAACGTCGATATGAGCTTTCAGCACTCACAATTCTTTGCGGATCAACTTACAGCATTTGAAGTATGGCTGCAGTTTGGTTCTGTCGAGAATCCACCGCCTCAGCAATTGCCGATGGTCCTCCAGGTGCTCCTAAGCCAGGTCCATCGTCTACGTGCGCTCGTGCTACTGAAGCGATTTCTTGACTTGGGATCGTGGGCAGTAAATTTGGCACTTTCTGTTGGTATCTTTCCATACGTACTCAAGTTGCTTCAATCTCCAGCAAGTGAACTTCGTCAAGTGCTAGTCTTTATCTGGGCAAAGATTTTGGCTCTCGATTCCAGCTGTCAGGTTGATCTTGTCAAGGACGACGGTCATTCTTATTTTATATCGCATCTCGCTGCTGGACTTCACAACGGTGGAGGAAATCATAGTGCGTATAGTGCAGCAGGCAGCGTGATGCCGGGTGAGCAGAAAGTGATGGCTGCCTTTATAATTTCGATGATCTGCAACGGTTACCTGCCTGGCCAAAAGAGCTGCTTACCTCAGTACTTGCACAAGATTTGCATCAATCTGCTACAGGATCCTGAGGAAGATGTGCGCAAGTGGGTTTGTTTGTGTATGGCCAAATTGTGGGAAAACTTCGACGATGCGAAGCGAATTGCAGTAGAAGATCAGGCTCCGCGAATACTTGATACAAAGCTCCGTGATGACCGTCCAGAGGTGCGTGCCGCCGCTGCCTACGCGCTTGGCACTTTAGCTGGCTTCCAGTATGACCCAAATACAAGTGGAAAGCATATCGACTCGAGTCGCGTCGATGATTTTCTTCGGCAACGGGCCCATGATGATATCATAGTAGCTTTAGCGCTGTTGCGGGGGTGTCAAGATGGATCCCCGTTGGTGCGAAAGGAAAGCGTGCTGGCTCTGGCAAACGTTATCTTGCACAAGTATCATCAGCCACGTTTTGAGTCCGTCGCCAAGCATTATAAGAATCAATCACTGGGTGGTCCAGCATCTCCCGCAACCGGTTACGAATATTTTACAGCTAATTCGGTTTCTCAAAGTGATATTGATGCGTTGAGTGTGAAGGAGGATACGACTGATGGTGATATGCCGGCAGGCAAGTACTTACGTGATGATATTGGAGCGGACGCCAGACACTATGCTCAGATCTGGCACGTACTTAAGGAGATGCAATCGAGGGATCCATTTCCACCTGTGGTGGACGCTGTGAAAGCAATTGTTAGTTTTGTGAATGCAAGCATCTTAAGAGCGGAGCAAGATCAGCTACTTGAAAACAGTCAAGGTGGATGTGCTTTGGCTTCTCCCGTTCGAAGTATGGATACTGGAAATTTCACGATAATGCGTGCGGAAAGGAGTCCTGGCGCTAGTGCTCAATTTCGACGAGAAGGGTCACTTTCGAATTTCTGCAATAACCAAGCCCGGCAAAGCAAAGAACAACGACCAGGAGGAGCCATTACAGAAAATGCCGTCCATCTTGTGAACTCTGAGCAAAACAACTTGACCCGAAATCCAGAAACACCGATGCAAACTGCCGCACCTGTCGTCAAAGGATTGCGTTCAGCCATATCAGTAGGCAATTTTCACCAATATCGGGAAACTTTTCAACAAAGTTCCGGGAACATGTTAGACGCTGAGGTTGATCACCCCACGCCGACAGTGAGCACGGGCAACAAGACAGTCCAAGGACGGCATCTCGAACCGGGCCTATTACAGATGACAGCTAGCTACGGAGTTTCAATGAGCGGGCTTTCTAACAAAGGTAGTACGGTTCATACAGTGTCTGCCCCTATTGCGCTGGACCGGTATGGCCGTCATGAGGACTTTCCACTTTGTCTGGTGTCAACGTTCTACGAGCGACACAAAGCCCACTTTAATGGACCGATGCTGGAACCTGTGCATGAAGATGAAGACCCGTTGAGCGAGAAAGGCGCTGAAAGGTGGGACCGTTGCCGCCGCTACAACCGCATTCGAGATGCAGCAAAAAAACTTGCACCAGGCTTTGCTACCATTCAGGGATCGGCAGAATCAACTACAACTCGGGACGCTGGGATAGGGCTGCGAGATGCCAGCCCGCGACATCCTTCTCTTCGCTCTCCGAGTGAATATGACGTCAGGCGCCGTGTCTCAACTCAGGGTGGTGAAGAAGAAGTGAAGGGATTCACGTTAAGTCTCCGTCAACGTGCTGTACTGAATAGCGACGCAGAGATGACATCGCTACTTCTTTTCCACCCGTATGAGACGATGCTCCTTGCTGCTGACGAGAAAGATCAGATCTCGCTGTATAACTTTGAGGAGACAGAGTCGAAGGTGCTGAGTTTTGGCAACGATAACCCACCTGGGTAAGTACTGCATGGCTTACTATGGAGGTGATCGTTGCAGTAATGAATAACGTATTTATGCTGCTTTACAACAGATCTCGATTGACATCACTGAACTGGATCAATGAAACGGAAGAGAGTCTTTTGACATGTGGCTCTGACGACGGTGTGGTCAAAATCTATCACGGTTTGCACCGTCCTCACCCATCGATAGGGTCTCCAAAGTTGCTTTCAGCCTTTGTCGCTGTGTCTGATCTTGTACCCGGAACGCGTGGATCAGGTCTTGTGATGAATTGGCAGCAAAATGCTGGCATGATGTATGCAGGCGGCAACTCCAGCATGCTTCGGGGTTGGGACTTACGCCAAGAAAAATGCACCATGTCACTTTCTACTCAAACAGATTCTTGCATCACAAGTATGACAAGTGATGAAAGCGTACCAGGAATGGTGGTGGCTGGCTTTGGTGATGGCACCCTTCGGGTTTTTGACTCGCGAAGCAAACCAGACTATGCTGTCAAGGTAGTGATGAAGGAGCACGCATCCTGGGTGGTGCAGACACATATATACCCGGGTCGTAACGAGCTTCTCACAGGGTCCGTCACAGGTGAGCTGAAGTTTTGGGATATGCGGTATCCGAAGAACAGCGTCAGGTCTCTCGAAGCGCATCGATCTCCGATGACTGCTCTTGCAATTCATGACTACGCTCCGATATTTGCCAGGTATGTTTCCATTGTATGCATTCATCCCAGAGATTTGTGCTGATCTACTTGGCTTTCCTCGCGTGTATGTTTCTACAGTGGATCCCACAATCAATTTATCAAGGTGTTTCGAAGCGATGGCGAGCAGTTGGCACTCATCCGCTACCACGAAGGTTTTCTGGGCGAGCGAATCGGTCCCGTTTCGTGCTTAGCCTTCCATCCGCATCGACTAATTTTGGCTGCAGGTGCAACTGACTCGGTGGTTGCTGTATACTCAAGTGACAAGTAAGTCACAACAGCTTTTGTAGTCATTCTACGACTATGTTCCGGTTGTGCATGGTAAGCGTGAATCAAGCAAAAGTCTTCATGTTGGTGAGTTTGACACTGTCAAATGCACTACTATTTGCTGGTCGCTGGAAACTCGGGAAGTGTGGCGCCTGTAAAGCGGTTCCGGTCGTGCTTAACACTATAGTCGACATTTGGTCCAGCAGGAACAATGCCGAAAGCGTTCAGGTGCGTGTGTGAACCATAGTAATGGAACTTAATGTGCTGCATCGAAACCGACTTGGTCACGGGCGGAAATTGGTAAATTTCCCGCGTGTACTGGAACCAGACAAAAATCAAACAGTTACACGGTTAGGTAACGTGCATTGATCGACAAGCAAGTGGCAGCTCTGATACGCACGTACATTGAGTAGGTTCGGGTACTCCGCAATCATCTTCTTGTTCGTCTTGAAGTGCACATAGTAGACTTCGTCAAAGCGAATGAGGGTCGTGAACAGACGCAAGTCTGCTTCGGTGAACGTTTGACCCACCAGGAAGCGCTGGTTGGCAAGGATCGCTTCGACACGGTCGAGGCTCCTGAAGAGATTGGCCACCGCATCGTCGTAGGCACTTTGTGTCGCTGAAAAGCCGCACTTGTACACGCCATTGTTAATGTCATTGTAGATCCACTCGTTGATCGCGTTAATGTCGTCACGCACTTCCAGCGGGAACAAATCCACGTCAGACGGCACAATAGCGTCGAACGACGAGTTCAGCATGCGGATAATGTCGGCAGACTCGTTCGAGACGATCGTGTGCTTGACCTTGTCCCACAGCACGGGCACCGTGTAGCGCGTGTTGCCCTCCGAGCACATTTCGTACAAGTCACGCACATATTGCGCACTGTTCACCGTGTCGGGGATGGCACCTTCGGACGAGTAGTGGCCGAGACCCGACGGACCAGGTAGCGACGGGGTCGTCTTGGGGTCCACAAAAGCCCAACCCGTGTGCTGGTCGGTGGGATCGTGCACGCGCGTGCGCTGGAAGACGGGGTGCACCACCGAGAGCCCGATAATGTCCTGCAGCCCTTTTACATAAAGTGTGGCAAGGCAGCGGTGGGCCCAAGGACAAGCAAGGGATACATAGAGATGGTATCGGTCGGGTGCGGCAGGGAACTCAGCGTCCGTGCTCGGTTCGATCCAGTTGCGGAATTTGCTGGCGTCGCGGACGAACATGCCTTTCTTCAAGACGGCCCACGTGTCTTTCGACGTCATTCGGGTTGTGGCTTGGTGCCTTACTTGCAACACAAGAGGAGAATGCACAACTGTCGTAATTGTCAGGGCAAGAGCTCTAGCAGTTGGGATAGTGGATGGAAAGTGGCGAAAGCGAAATAGCAGAGACATAGTCGAGCTCGTGAGAGATCAAGCTGGAGGTAAGTAAAGGGCGCTTTGCTCAAGTGGCAACAACGGCTTCTATGAAGGAGAGTTGGCGCACTTTTCTTCACAATGCACGGGGAAGAGCAGCGGCGTGAAGTAGGCAGACAGACAGCAAAGCTGTTTTTGACTATGGTTGAAGCTACTTTCGTGAGAGAAAGTTTATTCACCAACTGCCGCCCGCACAGTCCCGGAAATACGCAGTTACTGGCTGATCTCTTCTCTTAGTATTCTTCGATTTGCATCTTGTTGATTTGCGAGGACAAGGAACCAACGGGTTGCTGAACACAAGGGCCAAGACGTTTGAATTATCTTTCTCCCATGGGAAATGTAACGGGGTGAATCGTTACATAACAATTTATAAGAAATTGTTAATAGAATATAACTATAAGAGTTATATTCTCAGAATATTGTCATAAGGACAAATATTCTGTTGCACTTACAAGTAGTTCCTAATTGGTTGATATAGGCCATTATATCAACCAACGAAGACGCGCCACGACAGACGCACGCAATGAGTGGTGAGCAGATAACTGATTTACACATTTGTATTTAGACATAGTTAGATGAAGATAAATAGTGATTTATTGCAGACATTAACTATTATAAATACAGTTCTACTTTTTACTCTAACCAAGTACTCGCTTCTTCTTACCGTCTTCCTCTGCACGTACGAGTGTACGTGAAGTTACGAGGCACCGCCTTATTCTGTCATCAGAATAAGTAGCTTGTACTGTCACCAGTACAAGCTTCAGGGTGCCCTGTTACACCTGGTAGCACTTCGTAGTCCGTCCAAGGACCGCGTTCACATCCAACATGAATATGTTGGATGATGAAGATGACCAAAGCTTTCACGCTACGCGTGACGGCTACTCCCATTTGAGCGATGTCGAATGGGATGCGGTTGAACGAATGGGTTCGACCATGGGCATCCACGCTGTTAGCGTCATGCTAGAGGCTCTCAATAGAGATGCCCAACATGCTACTATCGCCAAGTTCATTCAAAATGAACTTGACGCTGAACGCGAGAAAGTAGCCTTGCTTCACCAACAAGGTTCTCAACAAGCAGAGTTGTTGAGAGAACAAGGTGCTCAACAGTTTGAACTGTTGAGACAGCAGCGGGCTGCTGCTGGCGGGTCGATGCACTCGCGTCGACCCGAGACTTTGAAGATTGACATCTCAAAGTATAGGGGGGTCGAAGAAGACTCCCTCTTGAGATGGTTCGTCGAATTGGATGACGCCATAAGGGCGCGTCGCATCGACGACGGGGATATGCAAGTTGCATTTGCCCAGTCAAATCTGGCAGGACGTGCCAAGACTTGGGCACTGGGGCTCAAGTTGCACGACCCATATGCGTTTGGGTCGTTGGAAGTCTTCAAGTCGCGGCTCAGACAAACGTTTGAACCGCCTAGAGCTGAGTTCAGGGCTCGAACCGAACTCTTGAAGCTCAAACAGGGTAAGCGTGATGTGCACGCTTACGCGCAATATATACGACATCTTACGAGTTGTACAAGTTCCAATCCGGTGGATGAACACACGTTGGTTTCGGTGTTCATGCAGGGTCTTGCGGATGGTCCCGTCAAGACTCACCTGTTCCGGCTTGAACTAGATTCACTAGAACAAGCCATTTCCATTGCGGAGCAGGAAGACTTCAGTCTGAGACAGGCTCGCGCCAGCTCGACATCATATCGTCAACCGAGACGATATGACAACGGAGGTCCAGAGCCGATGGAACTCTGTTATGTAGAGAGCGAGAAGGCTCGCTCTACAGGCTACAAGAAGTTGCAGAGATGCAACAGATGTCAAAAGACAGGACACTACGCTTACGAGTGTAGTGCCCCTCGTCCAGTGTCTCGCGACACTAGGCGTAGTGACCGTCCACCCATGAGAAAGGGGCAGGGACGAGGGTCCGCAGTTGGTGCAAAGACGCAACAACGGGATGGACCGTCAAAAAACGGACAGGATCAGTAGGTGCGGAGCACCCTACTGATCCAGCAACGTCAAGAGAATTTGTAGGCCTCTTGATGAAGGTTGCTCCCAACACACAAACGTTGTGCGTTGCTGCTCTAGGTAATGAGGTCTCACTCATTACCTTGAAACTCGAAGTGACGAATAAGTTGTCCCTTCGAGCTCTAGTCGATTGTGGGGCGTCCAACAATTTTGTGCGACGCCAATCGCTAGAAGATGGTCACTTTAAATTCAGTGAATGTGACACACCTCCTACGAGGATGACGGTACGTCTTGCGACAGGCGCATCCGTAACCGTCATGAAGCGTATAGTGAAGATCCACTATACGCTAGAAGATACCTAATATGACGATGACTTTATCGTATTGGATTTGGATGACAAATTTGATGTCATCCTTGGAATACCGTGGCTCAGAAGGCACGAACCACGGGTAAACTGGCAACATCGGACAGTAACGATGCCTGCCGCTTGTTCATCAGATGGCCATCTGATGAACGTTTTGGAGCGTCCACAAGCGTGTGGATGTACTACGAGTGAGTGCGATGGCCTCACTTGTGGTACGGTCGTTAGTACGACTGCACAAAACCTTAGTGTACCAAACGGTTACACTTCGGAGCAAAGTTCCGGCGGCTGTGAGGAAACACAGGCTGCGCCGAAGGTCCACCACTCGAATAAGTCTGGTGGACTGGGACAAAGATGTATCCCTAGCGGGGAACATCTAGAAGAGAAACAATCGATCGCTCAGGTTAAGCGAAATGATAATCCTAGATCGACTGGAGAGTCTTTCGTAGAGGATCTCGCTGTGGTTGCGCAACCCCAGCTAGAGGAAATAAAGGGAATAAGTCCCGATTTTACAAATACGGTGGAAATAAGTTCCCCGAAACCCGCGGGAATAAGTCCCCGGGAAGCCGAAGGAATAAGTCCTTCGAAGCCTGAGGGAATAAGTCCCCAGGAACTGACAGAGACATTGAATGTCATAGTCAATGACAGATCAAGTGTAGGCGCTTATACACTTGATCTGATTGCGCCTCCGAAGTTAACTTCGGAGATCACTCAGTTGCCAACGCTCGAACATAAAAGATTCTTGCGTGATCTGCGTAGTGGCAAAGTCAAGCAGATCTGCATACTCGTCGCTGAAGACGAGTATGTAACCGACATAAGGTCAGCAACAGTGTTTACTGAGAACGAGAGAGTTCTCAGTAGTTCATCTATGGACGAGAGTGTCCTAGATGAAAAGACACGAATTGAGCGATATGAGTCCCAATCATGGGAATCGCTCAAGGAAAATCCTCTCTATGAAGATTTGGTTGAATTCAAGGATGTATTCCCTGAAACTGTTCCGTGCGAATTACCGAAGGATAAAGGTATTCGACACGAAGTCGAGCTTAAACCAGGCTCGAAGTACTGTGTCATGAAGCAGTGGCCACTGCCTCGTGAACAAGTACTTGCGATCGACAAGTTCTTTGCCGATCGTTTAGCAGCGGGCCATGTGAGGGAATCAACTTCCCCACATAGCTCTCCGACCTTCTGTGTGCGAAAAGCAACAGGAGGGTGGCGGATAGTGCACGCGTTTAACAAATTGAACGCTGCAACGGTACCGGCTCAGACGCCGATACCGAGGAAGGACGTAATCATTGATGGTATGTCAAAGAGTACCATCTTTTCGTCCATGGATTTGATGGATGGCTTCTATCAAATCCTAATGCGGGAACGGGATATACCCTATACCGCAGTTAGCACGCCTAGCGGCATGCTCTGGGAATGGCTAGTAATGCCACAAGGGCTCAGTAATGCCCCTGCCACGTTCAACAGGTGTGTATCACATCTGTTGAGGCCAGTACGAGAATTCGCGCCGAGTTATTTCGATGACGTATTCATCCATAGTCGAGCTATGGATGGAAAGTCGGACGTTGAGGTTCACAAGTACCACGTCCGACAAGTTCTTACAATCATGCGAAAGCATCAATTGTATGCAAACCTCAAGAAGTGTATATTTGCAACAAGCGACTTCTTGGGTGCATCGTTGGTAAGAACGGTGTACGTCCTGATCCCGAAAAGATCAAGGCGATCACCGACTGGCCCGTGCCGGTCGATGTCAAAGGTCTTCGAAAATTCCTTGGGCTAGCGGCGTATTTGCATAAGTATTCACACAATTACGCCGAGATGACTGTATACCTCTCTCGTTTGTTGAAAAAGAACGAGAGGTGGTTATGGAACGCTGAATGTCAACGCTCCTTTGAGGGTATCAAGCAGAGCTTGATACAATCCCCAGTCCTAGCAATAGCCGATCAGGACAGGCCATTTCATGTGGTCTGTGATGCCAGCGATTTCGCAATCGGCTGTGCATTAATGCAGTACGACCTTGAAGGCGTTGAACGCGTCGTCTGCTATCAGTCGCGTCAGCTGCAACCAGCTGAGCGGAACTATCCAGTGCATGACAAGGAACTCCTTGCCATGAAGTATGCACTCGCGAAGTTCAGAGTCTATCTATTAGGAGATAGACCCTTCGTTGTTTACACTGACCATGCGTCCTTACGCACGGCAGTGAACAGCCCGCACCTTTCACAACGAATGGCGCGGTGGTTGTCATTCTTTGCAGAATACAACTTTACGGTCGAGTACAAACCAGGACGACTTAATGTCGTCGCTGATGCACTCTCACGTCGTCCCGACTTTGAAACAGTCGCGAAACCCAACAGTGAGACAGTCACTGTTGCGGTTATGACGTCCTCAGTTCCATCTACAACGTTGTATGATGATGTGAGGCGGGCATACGCCCAAGATGGTGAGATAGTGAAGTTGTTGTCACATCTCTCCCAACCATCTCGAGAACCGTTGAAACGATTGTCGTCTGCGTATCGATCTGCATCAGATCGATACACTACTCGTAACGGTTTACTGTACTATACAGCCGTTTCTGGTGACACACCACGTGTTGTCATTCCAGATGATACTGATCTGCGTTTGCGGATCATGTTCGAGTATCACGATGCTCCTATAGGAGGACATCGTGGCCGAGAGAAAACATATCTCACGGTAAGTCGAGACTTTTACTGGCCCCGCCAGTATCAGTTTGTGCGAAAGTATGTTCGCGCATGCGAAGTCTGCCAACGAGTGAAGTCAAGTCCTTCACTGCGTGCACCTTTACAGCCTCTACCGGTTCCGGCTGAGTGCTGGGAATCCATCTCAATGAATTTCGTCTTCGGGTTACCCAAAGACGCACGCGGGAATACGGGTATTCTCGTATTTGTTGACAGATTCAGCAAAATGGTACACCTTGTGGCTGTACCAGAGACAATCACGGCAAGTGGCTGTGCTTGTGTCTTTATTGACACCATCTTCCGACTTCATGGGTTGCCCCGTGAACTCGTATCAGACAGAGATCCACGATTCACTGCTGATTTCTGGCGTTCCGTGTTCAAATCACTCGGAACGCGCTTGAAGATGTCAACATCTGATCATCCAGAGTCATATGGTCAGACGGAACGTGCCAATCGTGTCCTTGAAGAGATACTTCGAGGATAAGTACACTCCTTTAAGAGTTGGAGTGAGTTTTTGCCAATGGTAGAGTTTGCCATCAACAACTCGGTGCATGCGTCCACGACACATACACCGTTTTACGTGAATGGCTTGCGCCATCCGCGTGTACCCACCTTACTAGAGTGTAACTCTGGTTTAAGGGGGGAGGGACTCGCGCGAGCAAAAACCGATTTGGTTCACGCTCATCACGCTCTGACGAGGAAGTCATTGTTAAACCACCGCGACGTGAACGGACGTCGGACGAGTTATCTCGTCCGATGGCGCGGCTATCCCCCGTCCTGGGATTCTTGGGAGCCCCGCTCCCAACTGATGATCGACGTACTGGGTCTAGTTGAGCAGTACGACGCGGCACATCCTGTGCCGCAGAAGGACCGCCGGAGAAAGTCTTCCCGGCACGGTCGAAAAGGGATTTCAGGTTGTCAATCCCTTCGTTCATCTCAGTAGAGACACGTACGCGCCACCACGGGCTGGTAAGGAGGTAAGCCTCCTTAGGTGCTCGTGCAGAGTTGTTCACACAACATGGGCACGAGTCTCCCCAAGAGAGGCAGGGTAATCCTTTCTCCCTTGACAGACGATGCAGCTTGTAGCGTGCACCTGTCGGGGTTCGCTTTTCAAACTTATCACGAGCTTTGATAAGTTTGTCGTTCCAAGCGTCACGACCTACATCCTCGAGGTTATGGATGTAGGCGTTCCACGCTTGAAGCAGTGAGGGACCATCACGTTTGTGATTCCCACTGTACCATCGATGTTTGAAGAAAGCATCGATGAAGAATTCATGTTCAGCGCGATAGTTTTTCGCACTGGGGTCAAGGTGATGGATCCTTGACGAATCGAACAATCGTGTTCGATAACGATCACTCGTCGTCGCCGACAAGTGATCCATGACGGATTTTGGAGGCATCCATGCCTTCTTTTCTGGAGCGAGACGCAACACATTGCGGTCCCGCTCTTCCTGCGATGTGCCGACAGAAGTACTGGCACCTCGCTGTGAAGTGGTGTCAATAGGAGAACCGACACCACTGTTAGCGCCCGAGTCTCGCGACCTCGAGCGCCTTCGCTTCGGCGATGGTTCATCTGATTCATCAGGTGAACCAAAGATTCTACGACGCATAGCATCATCCATGCCACGTTTGGCAGGCGGCTTAGATTTGATCGCCGTCGATACGGATCCGTCTTCCGTATCAGGAGAGTATGAGACACCGAGCTCATACTCTGTGAAGACATGAGTGTCTTCATGACCAGCGCCTGTATCACCAAGTGACACAGGCTGGGTCGCTTCAGCAACCGATGAGACATCAGTTGCTGTGGTTTCTGCTTCGGCGTCCGCACAGAGACGTGCGGACGCGCTCTCGGACGCCTTGCTCGCGCATCGCATGGGCTTGTTAACCATGCGATGAATTGTTGGAGAGTGGACTCGGACCAACAAGTGCAAACCCTGTCCCAAATGATTTGGGACGAGTATCCATTTAGTCAATCAGTCACTAAAGTGACTGATGGTTAAGGGGGGGGTGATGTAACGGGGTGAATCGTTACATAACAATTTATAAGAAATTGTTAATAGAATATAACTATAAGAGTTATATTCTCAGAATATTGTCATAAGGACAAATATTCTTTTGCACTTACAAGTAGTTCCTAATTGGTTGATATAGGCCATTATATCAACCAACGAAGACGCGCCACGACAGACGCACGCAATGAGTGGTGAGCAGATAACTGATTTACACATTTGTATTTAGACATAGTTAGATGAAGATAAATAGTGATTTATTGCAGACATTAACTATTATAAATACAGTTCTACTTTTTACTCTAACCAAGTACTCGCTTCTTCTTACCGTCTTCCTCTGCACGTACGAGTGTACGTGAAGTTACGAGGCACCGCCTTATTCTGTCATCAGAATAAGTAGCTTGTACTGTCACAAGTACAAGCTTCAGGGTGCCCCGTTACAGGAAAGACTAAACGTCTGCAACTAAAAGAGAGAGAGAGTTTCAGAGTGTCTATTTTTTTAGCTTAAACTACGTGCAAGATCTCTGGTATAAACTAGGCCAGGACGTAAGCGCCGGGGTACCCGGGGGCTCTTCGTGGCTGGTGCCAGTGACCACTGGCAACCCTCTTGGTTCGCTTTTTAATAACTCGATGCATGCATAAAGCACTGTTCCAGTAATTGCTGTTGCTACTATTCGATGCCGCCTCTGCGCTATTGTAACGGGGCACCCTGAAGCTTGTACTTGTGACAGTACAAGCTACTTATTCTGATGACAGAATAAGGCGGTGCCTCGTAACTTCACGTACACTCGTACGTGCAGAGGAAGACGGTAAGAAGAAGCGAGTACTTGGTTAAAGTAAAAAGTAGAACTGTATTTATTATAGTTAATGTCTGCAATAAATCACTATTTATCTTCATCTAACTATGTCTAAATACAAATGTGTAAATCAACTATCTGCTCACCACTCATTGCGTGCGTCTGTCGTGGCGCGTCTTCGTTGGTTGAAATAATGGCCTATATCAACCAATTAGGAACTACTCGTAAGTGCAACAGAATATTTGTCCTTATGACAATATTCTGAGAATATAACTCTTATAGTTATATTCTATTAACAATTTCTTATAAATTGTTATGTAACGATTCACCCCGTTACAGCTATAGCTCAAAGCTGGCGGATGCACGAGGCCCAGAAACTGTCGGTCCCCTTGTAATATCGATAGGCTCTGCCCGGAAGACTGCCGCATTTCGGTCTGTCCATATCCTTGTCTGACACATCGTCGCCAGAATATGCCATATTTCTTTCCATACGCGGGTGGCCGCAGCTACGTCGTCTTGAAATCGGTCGGTTAAGATTTTCATCCGGTGTGACAGTTTCGTGTGGGCCTGGCGACTGGCGCGGGTGACCAGGAATTGTTGGGTCCGCTCGCGGGACGCGCGTTCCCCGGTCCAGTGCTCAATTAGTTTAACCCATAGGGCAGTTGCGCTGTTGCACTCCCAAAAAACATGCATGATCGTCTCTACACATCCGTGACAGGCTGGTGCCTTCCGGCAACTTTTGTCCTCAGGGCGCGCCGCATGGTACAGGTTGAGCTGGCGCGTCGCGACCCGATACCCTGTCAATACTTGATACGGAGAGAGTCCATGACAATGATCCCACACTTGCCGCGGAGATTGCCTGAGAGCGGCACTCTGCCACTTGTCGACGAGAGCCCTGTCGTCGAGACGTGAGACAAAATCCTTCAAGGGGCGGGCAAATACTTTCTTGTGAAACCGAAAAGCCTGGCGACCGAGTTCCTGAACGATGTGAATGTTGGACGTTGTGTCCGGAATAAACCAAGGAAAATTGTGAATCTGCGGGTTCGCTTCAAAAACGAGACCTCCTGTCAAGAGCTCGCGGGTAAGCGCCTGTCGAGCGACGTCGGACTCGGCGATTAACTCCGGCACCGATCCCTGAAAAAACCATCGCAGCCCGTCACTGGCTTGGTGTAGAGTGAAAGACGTGGGTGGGCTCCGCGAACTGGACGATGGCCGACCTTCAATGCTGCCAGCGCTGTTCAGTCGCCAGTCAAAGCTTACCGTGAACGGAGGCTCGTGTCGGGGTCGGAGTGCTGGTGGCGTGTTGAGAGCCTCTCCAATTTGTAATTCGGGTGAGGATAAGAGTAATGCTGTCGCCCACCGCCTTAATTTGGCTCCTGAGTGAGGGCCTGGGTGGCGTAGCGGCAGAGGCACTGTCATCACAAATTATGCCGGTCCTGTGCGCACAATGTTAAGCACTTCTAGAGAGCATACTGCTATCCGATCGTACTTGCTGCGCGTCAGCAGATTACCGCTCATATCCCGGATCCAGGGGTTCGCACTCCAATTAAAGGTGTGCCAAAAGCGCTGAATTTCTAGTGGAAAATCATCGGCCCCCACCTGCCGCCGACGAAAGGCTTGATAATACGACAATTCGTAGTCCTCCCCTTCCCACAAGCTGGCGGCCCGCTCAAGCAGAGCCGGCGATTGACTGGCGACCCACGACTTCAAGCTGTTAAGTTGTGCTGGAGTAGGTGTGAGCCATTCTCCAAGCTCCTGCGTCAGTGCCTGGTACTGAGAGCGGCTACATCGTGACTCCGCCCTCCTAGTAGCCGTAGCTGGTGAAAATGTCTTCGCAGTACCCGGGAGCTCTCCCCGAAAGCCCATACTCGCCATACGTCAAAATACTTTTCCGGGCGCTGCGTAAGCCAACTAATCGCATGCTTCGTCCGTTAAGTCTTGACAGCTACCGAGACATCGATTGGCCATTCCCCTTAGCCTGTTTGGGCGTCACTAGCAGGCCTGGGTTGACCTTGTGGCGGCTAGTGTCGATCACAGTCGCGTGCTCCCATAGAAAGTTCTTGTATAAATCATGCACCTTTTTTTCCGCCCATCGAGGTATGTCAAAGAGGCTCGCCGTAAAGAGCAAGGAGGGGAGAATAATGGAGTTCAGGACGAGTAACCTGTTCTCAACTCTGGTCGCCACCCGCGTCGCAGTGAGGAGGCGGCGCTGAATTGTCCGGATCCTCTGAGCCCAATTTTTGTTGTCCAGAGGCCCGGTCCCGATCTCGTACCCAAGATACCTGGTAGTGGCGCCAGAGGGCACAATGGCTATACCGGCATAGCTCGCTCTGGAGATGGCCCGGTTCAAAAAAAGAAGCTTGCTCTTTGCCGGTTGTACATGGAGGCCTGACAGATTCTTAAACGCTTGGATAATTCCGAGAGCACGGGGTATTTGTTTTGCCGTGTCCAAAAAGATCGTCGAGTCATCGACGAAAGCCGAAAAGGTGAGTCCTGTCGACAGTCCCAGGCACTGTCAATCCTTTGAGTGACGGGTCGTGCTTGAGGGCGATCCCTAACACCTCCACTACGAGTTAAAAGATGAGGGGCGCAAGTGGGCAGCCTTGCCGGATTCCGGAACGCACCGGGAGCGCGGCAGATTGACCTCCTTTAACGACAAAAGTTGCAGTCGTGCCCGTTGGATCCGACAGATGAGGTCAATAAAGCTGTCTGTAAAACCAAATAGACGCATGGACTCGTATAAGAAATCTCGGTCCACAGTATCGTAAGCCTTCCGAAAGTCGAGTAATGAGATACAGCGACTGCCTTCCGCCGTCAAATCGACCTGCTCCGTCGCCGTCGTTAGTTGGGCCATCATCATCATTACCGTCTTGGTCATACGGCGCCCGTGAACAAAACCTTGTTGGGAGTCACTAATGATACGCGGTAAACACATTTGCACCCTCGTAGCTAGCACCTTGGCAAAAACCTTGTACCTGGTTTGTAATAGATAGATCGGTCTATAATCCAAGGCGTCATCTGAGTCACCTTTCTTCATAAGCGGAATAATCGAAGCCGACAGAAATGAGGGGGGTAGGTCGGCCCCCGCTAGAAATTGGTTGCCGATAGCTACCAGCGCCGGCACCATCAGCGCTGCTGTATCTTTGCAAAAATTTCATAATGGAGACCATCGGGACCCGCCGCTTTATACCGACTCAGCCCTCGGGCGGCTGAAAGCACCTCGGCCTCCGTGATCGGTAGCAGCAGGCGTTAATTATCTAGTGGAGTGAGCATTTGCTCATGTGGGATCGTCGCGAAATCTCGGATCGCCGCGGGCAACGAGTCCAGTGGCTCCTTGCGATGGCTGGCGCTAAACACGGACGCCCACTCCGACGCAAACCGATCTGTCATGGACATATGTCGTGTGAATGCGTGCCCATAGCGTGCTGTCAGCGAGGAGACACGTTGATCCCGTTCCCGATTGGCTACCCGCTTGTATGACCACCGAAGACGCTCGGCAGATCTCTCTAACTGCTCGCCGAGACGCACTAAATGATCCTCCCGCATTTCCTCTACATTGGCCGCTATCCAATGACGCCGGGTTAAGAACAGTCGCCGCCCTTGCTGTCGTATTTTCGAGATAAAGCGCTGTCGCCGCTTCCCCCCCCGTTTGTTTACCACGGTTAGACAGCGGACACCCCGGTTCACGGTAGTGTCCCATGACTGTAAATTAGGCGCGTGACCCACCCGCGAGGCTTCCATTTCCCGTAATATGTCTCTTAAGACCCGGTCCTGTTGATTTGACTTGATGGGATACACAACACGCGCTCTGGCGGGGGTTGTGTGACTGGATCGACGGAGCCGTAAATGAAGAACTACTTGTTGGTGATCAGAGTAGACTGGAGGAGGAATGGCGGACACCCACAGAACCGTCGATGCCCAGGATTCGGAGACGTAGATTCGGTCGATCCGGCTGGCTATCTCGGCAGTCCAGTATGTGTAGTGATCAGTCAATCCTCTTCCTCTTCATCCGCATAATCTCTTATAAGGCGAGCATCACTCAGCCTAGACGCCTCGAGTAACTTTTCCAGCGCAGGACTTTCCGTCCTGCTAGCAATTCGAAAACCTATTCGATCCAGTTAAGGACTCTGCACTCAATTAAAATCCCCTAGCAAGGCTGTTCTCCCCGGCGGCAAGTTCCACTCATGAAGACTCGTGAAAAATGCCTCACGCTCTCCCCTGAGGTTGTGAGCGTACACGTTTAAGATACATAAGTCCTGCACTGTAATCCCAATAGCGCGAGAATGCCATTTGTCTTCATTCCACGCAACGGCACGTGTAGCGGCTGTCGGAGTGAGTAAAATGGTCACACCACTAGTCTTGGAGGACCCTACCGTCCAAAAGGACATGGGCGCCTGACTGGAGTCGTGATGCTTTCCCCACAACCGGCGCCATTCCTGCCGCAGTTCCGCTTCTTCCTCGACGCTCGTGACATGAGTTTCCTGGATGCACCACGCTAGAGGCCTGGAGCTCACTGGAGTCCGACGCCAGGCCTTCATCCATTGGATCCGTTTGGCCTGTGTGAAGCCGAAGACATTTTGGGTCAGAAGCCTCTGATTCGCCGTCCTCTGACTTGTGTGGCGAGAAGTGGATCCCAGGATGGTATGAAGCAATGCGCTGCGACCGTATGCATCCGCTCTAGAGAGCGTCGCAGCAGAAGACTGCGACGTGAGGAGTACCCGTGGAGTGCCCTTAGTACTGGAGGAGAAATGCCGCCGCAGGACGGGTGAGCCCTGAGGAGAAAAACCGCTCAATTTCCGCCCAGTCAGCCACGCTGGCGGACGAGTAATACGCCTTCCTGTACAAAGCATTCGTGCTCAGTAGGTTGATATGTGATCGAAGCTTCTCGGACGCGCGCGTAGCCGCTGGAACCCCTTCCACTAGCGCTGCTATCTCTCGATCGTACACTAGCGCACACACTAAGTGTTGGCTCAGCCTTGCTTTCCGCAGGGGATCGCAAAATTTAAGCAAATCATCCCCCGCATAACCTTGTTCCCTTAACCGGCCCCAATCATCGGAACTGTCCATAAGCGGCGCCAAAACGACGGAATTGGTGCGGTGCTGCGTGTTACGGATCCATTGGTCGAGCCACTGTGTCGTGTGCTGACTGACAGGTTGCTCATGATACCGCCGCAGTCCATCTTCCAAACAGCCGCGCCGGTTCTCTGCCATCCAATGGACGAATAACAGACGGGTCCAGGATCCGAAGAAGCTCACCCGGAAATTTGAACCTCTTGACTAGCAAGAGTAAGCGATCGGGCACATGACCAGCTACCCTCTGCCAGTCTAACGTCGAGCTGCTGGTGAGAGGAAATGGAATCTGCTTCGGGTTGGGCCACATCGATTCCAGAAGCTCCCACGCTGCTGCCCAGTCCGTTCGGTCGAAGCGCTCGTTTGCCGCATCGTCTGGGGGGAGCTGTGGTCCTGGGTCTCGCCTTCATTTCTTAGCTACCGCTTCCTTGGCTGGCTGCGGCCTGTCCGTCCCATCCGATATCTGCACAATTTGAGACGCCACAAGCGCCCTTTTACGATCAGCGGGGGAGGGGGTCTCATCCTTGCCAGAGAGGCTGAGGGAATCGTAGAACGGCTAACCTGCCGCTCCACCAGTGCCAACGCGTTGCACTCGTACGGTCTATGTAGACTCAGGACCTCCGTTGACGCGTCGACTGAGTCATCCCTTAAGACTAGTATCCCTGCTAGCTGTCCAGACGTCTCGGGTACAGGCGCCTTCGTCTCCTGAGTATCCGGACACACCGACGTACCAGCAGCCGTCTGCTCAAGTGATGTTATCTCCGCCACCAAGTCGGGCAACAGACTGGAACTCCCAGAGTGATTAAAAGCGGAATATTGGCGATCCTGGTAGCGCAATCCGGGAGGAGGGTGCCCGGGTGCCTCAATTTTGCCGCTATTACTTCATCCATGAGGTCCATAATTCCCAGCGGATATTCCGCCGCCTTCACGACCCTCCGCCTATGGCGGGTAATCGTGGTGGGTACAAATTTACGGCAGCGCCACGGGTGGGTCTGGCCAGTAAGAAACTCGACAACATAGATTGACTGTTGTAGAAAATTGGCCTCCATGCCGACCATATCGCTGCCCCCCCCATGTGTCTGTACCAACCAGAGCCGTTCCGGCGGACGGGCTGGTAGCATAGTCGTCGAGGTACCATCGCATCTTCGAAGCTGATTCCTTGTGAGTCATCGCCGGCCAACCTCTGCTGACTCTAGCCAGAGCATGAACTCTATGATCTTGAGCATACTGATCCTCCAGATCCAGCAAGCCCGAAAATTTAATCCCCCGTTTTATGTAAGCTGTCAGAAGCTCCAGATGCCTGTCTGGACCGTCCAGGGATGCGTCCGTTGCCGCTTGAGCAATAGCCATGGCAAGACTATTACCAGTAGCCGGTGTGATGACCGGGTGAAGCGCAAGTTGAGCCGTTAACTCCGCTACGTCCGTCGGGGCTTTTGTTGCTCGTGCTCGTACAGGCGCCAGAGCCTTGGGCAGCCGACCCGATTCCGCGATCAATTGTCGAAATGATCCTCTCTCGTTCCTCTTGAGAGTCATCAGCACTGGACCTGTCGTACTCGGAGCCAATCCTCGTCCAGCCCCTTGCTCGTTTCCGGGCCTTCTCGGAAGACTTAAGAAGCGAGTGCGTACCGGCCCCGTCAGTTAGGCCGACCGTTGGATTTAGTGCCCCGGCTGACTGTGAATGTGGCACTTTGATCTCTTCCGACGCAGCCGGATCAGTGTTTGTCTCCTCGGTCTGGTCCTCGCTATCCTCGCCTATAATCTCTTGACCTCCTGCCCGCTCTTGTGAGGCCACCGCTTTTACCTGGCCCGTGGCCGCTTTAGACAAACCTCTCGTACGTCCCTTTTTGGACTACTTAGTGATCCACGGCTGCGGCTCAGCCGGACGCGGATCTGGTTGCATGTGGGCAAACTTCTCCCCTTGTTCCGCTTGTGTAGCGATACTGGGGCTCGTAACCTCAGGAAGTGAAATAGCGGCTTGCGTCCCTGATAGTTGTCCTCGCGCGGGTGGCGAAACCGCTGCTTGAGCCAACTCCTCCGCTGCTTCTTGGAGCGCTAGGCGCCGCGCCGCCATATCTTTAATTTCCTCTAAGCTAAGAAATGGTCGCGCAAAATCCTCGAGCCCCTTGACGTCCTCCTCTGTTACGACTACGCCCCCTGGCCCACACAACTAAAGGTCGGTGAATGTACACCGCGCCAGCGTGTGGCCGAGGTTGACACATTGAGGACACTTCAGCCGTCTGCCTACATTTGGATGCTTAACATATATAGTCGTCCCGAACCACTACAACCGAACAATGCCGTCGAGGAAAGTCGGACATCCCGCTAGTTTGAAGTTTATCCTCCAGATTGTCGATGTCCTGGAATCGGGGGTATGCGTGTCCAGGTCCTCCATCGCGAAGTCCGTCGAAATCTTCTCCTTTAAAAAAAGCCGCAATCCGGCCTATGTCGACAAAACCGAGTTAAATTGTGAAGCAAAACCGTGTATTCCACTCGTCGGCCCTGTGGTTGTCCATTAAGCCTCCACTGTCGGTTCCATACCGGGCCGGACTCCGCTCGGTGGGCATTCTGGAGCCGGTATACTCCTCCCGAAAAAGGCACCCGCACCTCCTTGTGCTTCTCGGCAGTTTCTTTGGTAAAGAAAAATAAGCTAATCGACTTCGTTACTTGATCGTAGCTGATCTTCTTCGTCTGGCCTAGCATGTCGTGTAGCGCAGGTAAGTTTACTCGCGCCAGCTCCGCCGATTCCAGGATCCGCTCGGTGATAGCTTTCGTACTCTGTCGGGTAACCCGGACACCCCGAGAGAGCCCCAGTTGCATAATCAATTCGCCTTCAACCTGAGCCTGAATCGTTGAAACCAGTCTGAGGCATTTCTCACTTCGGAGGATGCGCGGAAGAAAAGCCGGCATGTTGCGGTATGCAATTGTGCCCTCGACTAAACCCAAGACAATATTCCATTCATCGTCTGTACCCTTACGGACTTGGTGTTGTCCTGCTGGGTACTGCGGCGACGCACATACAGCTCGGAGCCGCGCGATCTCCACCCCCGAGAACTTAGCGGGATTAAACACGGTCTTCCTCATATTTCGATTTACTTGGAGGTGTTAAAGCCGCTGATGGAGTCCGGCCTGTGCGAACAACAGCTGCCTATTGATGGAGCACTGGCGCTTGCGCCCCACTTATGCTGGCTCGCAAGTCTGCGTACTATCTCTCGGAAAGCCCACTTAGTGGTAAAAAGCTCCCGCGTAATGGTCGACGCTAGTCTTTTCCTATTCCTCAAAGCCTCCCGTTGTGTTGACAAACGCTTGTTCAAATAAGCCTAGTAGACTAGACGCTTCGGCTTCACCCACAGTCGGGAAACGTTTTCGATCCGCCGGCAGCTCCTCGGAAAGAAATGGGACTTCCGCGTAGGCCTCCGCGAATAGCTGCCTGATCGTTTGGATCCAGGCATCGACAAGTCCGACATTCGGTGATTCCTTCATGTCCCCAACCAAAGCAGAGAACATTGCATCGGACGAAACCCGCCGGATGGGAGTCTGTCGCGGAGGAGGGGAGGGCGACTGGCCGTCTGTTGGGTTGGGCTTAGGATCTTCCGGTGGCGCGGTCCCGTTGGACCTGTCTCTGCCGTCCTGGGAGTTTACTCCTTTAACCGCCGAAGCGCTAGGCTTGCGGCGAAGGGAGAATGCCGAACCAAGTGCACCGCCTGTGCTAAGGCAACCAATCGGCATGCCTTCGTCACCGAGCATGGGGTAGTTTCCATCAGCCGCCGGTCCCTGTGAATCCTCCTGGATGGCCCCTGGAAGCGGTAGTAAGGCCGATGTGCTGGCGCCCGGCCTTGCCGCCTCCACCGGCTGAGTAATTCGACTCTCGTCGCTATCCGTCGACGCGCAGGCTGTACCTGTAAGAGGCACAGTAGGCTCCTCGGTTAGGGCAGATGCCCCTCCCGGGTCATCCCCACCTCCCGGGGGGTGATCTAGAGGCTGCATAGCGCCTGGTCTCCGCTTGCTGTGAGCCAATAAAAACGGGTTTATACTCCTCTGTGGTCCGAAAAAATCTCTGCGTCGCAAATAGAAGAGTGGTCTGCAACTAAAAGAATACCTCCTTCCATGTGTAGCTACAAAAAAAACCAAATACATCATCGGTCTTCCCTCCGATAAGTGTTCCCCCGACAACGTATAACCTCTGCTAGGTTATCAATTTTCGCGTCCACGAACCTCGTTTTATATCCGCGAGGTTAAAAGTTTTAAGTTATGATCAAAAAAGGCAACATAACTTTAAAATGAGTACTTACTTTTCGTACTACAGAAGAGATAAATTACTAATACCACATGTCGAGGGTGGTTAAGATGGTAGGAGTGTTGCGAAGATCAAGCTGGAGGTTTCGAAGGACTTTGTAGGCAGCTTGGTGACGTTCATAGGTACATTATGCAGGGAGCAGGCATCACGAAGGAAATGAATCATCTCGGTTCTGGCAAATTTTTCTGCGACAGGTGCCGCACTTCACTGTTTTCCTCCTCCTCATCTGCCTCCAAAACCTCTTTTAGGATCTCGTTGTCGTCTCGTCCTCTTCGATGTGATCGAGAAGCGCCAAAATCTTCATAGGATCTCGGACACGAAGTTTCTTGAGATGTGCTATCAGCTCTTTCTTCAGCTCACTTTCTTCCTTCTCGATCTCCGTTGCGCCATCTCTACTCCTTTCCACCTCCACTGCACTTGAAATGACCGATTCAGTAGAAAAGTCATGTGTGGCTGAAGCAGTTGGCAATGGTAGTGCTCAAAATCTCATTTCAGGTAGCCACCGACCAGTGCATGCCAGTAAGTCGGTCGACTTTGCAGACGTTAAAACCCTCCCTATGCTCGTCACAGTCGATTGCATTCTGCAGATGGTAACGGCGATACCGCCGCTTGAACGCTGCGATGACACCAGCATATATCAGATGTAATATGGGGTTCGTACATGGTGGAAGCAGATGGACCTTGACATTAGTTTACGCAGGGTCACTCGTCATATGCGACAGAGCATTGTCAATCAATAAAAGGAAATTTCTACTTTTGATCTGAAACAATACAAAATTAGAAATACTACGTTTTTAATTTTTAATATGGCTACGCGCCTTCATTGTTCCGTCTAGATTTGCAAGTCATTCCTGGAAGAACACGCCCGCCATATTAGCCTTCGTGTTGTTGCGACGGAGAAATCCATGTGCTTGACCTGATATCTTGTAAAAGCAGCGAGGCTTATCGGGTTTTCCGATCAATAAAGGCTGCAGCTTGTCAGAGCGACCGGTATTTGTAGTGAGCGCAGTTTTAATCCGCGACTGCATAGGAAATCAGTGCGTGCCCTGTGTTGATATATGGCACCAAGCATTATGCAATATACTCACCTTGCCTTTTTGTGTACTTCAACTTCTTGCTGTACAACAGTTCTGTCAGGTGTCATGTTGTAGCGTGATCCTGCAAATTCATTGTTAGACTTGGTTTCAGTTAGAAAAACACACAAACTTTACCGGTTTCATCCATGTTGTAAACATCACACAGCTCTTACTGTGCAATGACCTTCTTTGCATCAGGAAAAGCTTTATTCGTAGCCTCCACGTCCACCATGGCAATTTCACCGTAGATGTTGATCGCGCAGAGCATGCGACGTTGCTGGAGTGTATAAAGTTGTCCGTTCAAGAAAGTGATGGCGTCGTCAGGAGTACCAAGCAATTAAGCAAGCCGATGGGCCTTCGTACAGATGATATCCCCGGTGGTTTTTACTCCGCGGTGTTGGCATTGCAGAACCCAAAGAGACACGTCTTCTTCCAGTATGGGATGTTGAACCAGTCGCTGTCGCTTTACATATAGGCTGCTTGGATCCAAATATTTTAGGTTTGACCACTTTCGAAAGATCTTGGTGGTTGATTCCTGTGACAACGTTTTAATAAGGCCGTTCTCCACCGTAGCTTATTTCGCTAGTCTCTTTTGATATGTATTTGGGTTTTTATCCTTGTGTCTGCATATTTGCGGACGTTGTCCATTGGTAAGACGGATCTGAGACATTTATACTGCTCAGATATCACACCAACAGTCAAGACACGGTTAAAATAATGTAAGTATGTGGCTTTCCCTGTGTAATTATTATTAGCTCAGAGAAAAAAGCAATAAGTACGTCGCATTCCGTTGGAAAAGCAGCACACTATTCGAGGGGATGGAGTTTTGTTCTATTCCAGCAGTGAGAGCCTTAGATATGGATTTTGGCTTGTATTTAAGGAAAGTGGGGGGGGTTGGTTTGGGTGCCTGTAATGGGGTAGCTTGTTACGCAATATTGAAACCAAACGGTTTCAATAGGGATAATGTCTAGTATGACAATTCCCTACCAATATTATCCGAGATGGATAACACTGAATGAATTTTATGCCCTTTTAGGCTAATATTCATGCGCTGCTCAAATATTGATTGATCAAAGACATATCAACCAAGATTACCACCAACCGCTGCTAGACGAGCGCAATGGGTGGTGAGAAGGTTGTCGTCATTCGACAATGTGGATTAATAGAGTAAGATAAAGATTGAAGTTATATTGATAGCTTAATTATTTGAAGTAAAGTACTCCTTTCACCATTTTTCAAACTAGCTGTTTGAGTAGATTAGCTTCTTAACACCAACGAGTGTACGTGAAATTTCGTGTCACCTAAGCAAAGGGTGCCCCGTTACACTAAAGACGTATGTTAAGTTAAGCCAAGCCGAGCAAAGTAAATTTACTGTAGCGTACTATTCACTTTCATACACTTCCGGTCGCGACTTACACAATTACATGGTTGGTTTTAACAATGAAGATTCGCCAGAAAACCTCGTTAGCTCGACCAGAATTGCCCTCCAGTCCGAAGCTGATGGTGAGATGCGACCTGACGTGTCGGTTGCCATTAGATAGTCGTAAGGCAATGTGCCTTGACCAGAGGAAACGACAGCACTAAAAAAAGACGTCCAGGAGTTCGGTCAGAGTGGAAGAGAAATCTTAAGCATCATCGGCGGCAAGTTTATTCGCGGTTCAACCACTATGATTTGAAAGACAAAGTGCACAATAATCTTGACAGCTAGTAATCATGCGCTTTATCTCACGGTATAATTACGTTCTCAGAAGGCATCCTTCATTTAGTGAATAACACGTGGGTGACAAAGTGATGACGATGATACCACATGCGTTATACCAACTCAAACATCGGCATGCCTAATTCTTTCTCGTTAACATTTCAAACTTTCTACATACTTCTCTTGCTTGTGTCATATTTTCAAATTTAAAATGCTGTCGTAGAAATTTTGCTAGAATGACAATCAACAACGGTCTTAATTCGACATATCATATTGACTACCTTCAATCTAGCGGTCGCCATGATGGATGTGCAACTGCGTGGTTGCGATAGTGTGTCCACAATGGAACCCATTCACACTGACTGTGCAACACGATGATGTGTAATTGCATGTTGCTATCGGTCTGATGTCATTTGCACGCCGAAAAAAGGTGGCCAAGGCTAAAAGATTGGACTCACAGTCTTTAATGACACTTCAATGCTTGTCCAATGATCGCCTATTGGATCCTATATTCGTATTTCACTGACACCGGAACACATCATGAAAACGGATGATACAGTTGTGGACAAATAAACCAGGCACCGGAACAAGTTCCGTATTTAGGTGCGCTTGGTTGCGGGTAAGCTCTTCAACTGTGGCACATCGCCCCGAAGTTGACAATTGTCATTAGCTACTATGTCAGATCCGGGTTTTAAATGCCGTAGGCGGATCACATTATCCCTTTGTCCCAGCGTTTTCACTTACCCAGGTCCGCGTCCCATCACAGGAATGCAGTAAGGATGAATGTGACACATCTAGTATTTGGCTTGTATATTTCTACTTCAAAGAACTGGGTGAAAATTTGAGCGGGATCGTGGTCGCCCTCGAAATTTAATTGTGTACCTATCACCTTTAATAGGACACAAGTAGCCTTTCAGTTGTAGATGTTTAGTCCCTCCTACCATTCAAGAAGTTTGCATACTTCTCGTATTGTGCGATACCTCCCCATATGTCGCTCGGTCATTACCAAGACCTACTATTCTCCGTGCATTTCGGTTCGCGCTCTTCGGGAGTCTTGCTCATCGTTACGACCGGCTTGGACACAATTTTTGATGATCATGATGTGCTGCAGCCTACCGCTCATGTGAAAGCTTTATAGACTTTTTGATCAACATGTGACGACTCACTTTCTTATTGAGCCCGATCTGTAAAATAGGGGCTTTGAAATTGTTTTTGAATACGCAATTGATGCAAACAAGCATTTTGTGGAGCATGCCGTTGCCGCGCTTACTCATCAGTTGTTTCAAGTACAAGCGCACATTTCGAGGAGCTACTGGGGCTTTAAAGATTAATATAAGGTCGCCACCCCGTCGATTCAGATACACTTTGCGGCATCATTTACGTTCAAGAAATGACTCGGCTCAGTAGTGATTGTAAATTTATCAGTTCAGTCAAATCTCCTGGTGTCATCGACTTGCAACTACAGGTCTCACTAATCTTCGTTTCAATAGTGAGGAGTGTAAGCTTGCGTGTGACCTCCTTAAAATGTTCTTCGAGTACAAGTATTGACGAATAAGACGACGCATTCCAGAAAATCGATCGTTTTGCTACACTGGGTGACTACCAAAACCCCGATAAACCGAGTTTATAAGGAAGCCGTCAAACCCCCTCAGTTTTCTGTTAAAATTTCCTCAGTTCGATATAATGCTCCATGATTAGCTAATTTATAGACGTGCCTTGATTATATTGTATCACAATAACCGCTTTTAAACATCAATCGGAATTAATTAAGTGTGGTCCGTAATTGATATTGCATGTTCTTTAGCGCTAAATTTATGTCAAGCTTTGACTGAAATTTTTGCGAGCTCAAAGTTTTACGTCCGCAAATGCTCTCAATCGCTTATTGTATCTATAAGGTAAATGCCTCCATAACATT